GCTTATTTCTAAATGTAAAGTTATACAAATTAAGAAAATGTATGATTTAAAATGTTATTTCAACCAGCAGACATTAAATCTCAGTACAAAGCTATATTTGGAAGGTGGACCCAGTCGACTATTGGTGTCAATAATTTACTAACCAACGCAAGCAACGTTTTTTTATCATTGCACTAGCTGTTCCCGTGCGACTTCATCCGCATGAAATTATGAAAATTTTATTTTATTGTTTACATTTGTCAAATTATCAGTTACAAATGACAAAATGACATGACAACCTTGCTTCCTTGATGTTGGCAGCAACTTATGGTCTCTTTCCCACATTAGGGTTTTTATACAAAATATTTACCCCTAGGTTTAATGGCGTTAAAATATATAGCCTAAAGCTTGAAGCAAGTGTAGGGCTTTTTATTAAAAAAATAATTATTCAATAATATGCTGTAATTGCTGACATCTTAGGCAACAAAGAAGTGTGTGTTTACGCTTTATTATAATATAATAATATAGATAGTATAGATATGATTGATCCAAAACTTTGACGAACAAAGATACATTAAACAGCAGTAAAATACACGTTGAATTGCAAAATCAACAAGCAACTTCACTTTACTTAATTTAGAAAGATAAGTTATGTAAAATCATGTTACTCTCATAATGGAATCTGTACATTTGTTCAGTTTTCTTGTTTATCTTTAACTGGTATGCGAGATGTACGGTTAATTTTAACGGCACACTGTTAAATGAATATACGTTCATGTCCCGGGAACGGACATCTCTATAAATAACTATGAATAAGTATGAAACATATTATATCTACATTTTAATATGACATATTTAAAATAATGTGAAATCAATAAAATAATCGCATAAGGAATGTTTTTCATATTAACTTTATAACTAGCTGTTGCTCGCGACTTCCACTTGTAGTTTCTGAGTTATTTCAATACATACAAATACATTTCACTATATACTCGTTTTAGTGTAGATACTAAATAGCGCGACGATAAAATAAAGCTAATTTAAGTCAAAATAAATATATGTTACAAACACAACTATCAAAATTTTTAATAAACCTTTTCACGTATAAACTAATTCTTAATACTTTATGGTGTTAATCCACTTTTACCGCGAAAACCACTTCATTTTTATGTGTCTTCCGTAGATTTTACGTGTATTTTAGCAGTTTCCGGGGTTATATAATGTAACATCGATAAAAATACATGAGGCGTGAAGGTTTATTTGATGGACGTTATGACGTTTATACGAAATACGTTTCTTTATCACACAGAAACTATAAAAAAGGTGTTTAAATCTTTTAAAAGCTGTAAATTAACATGTATTTAGATTACTTTATTGCTAAATAATTTAGTTAATGGCTTAATTTTCGTCTTTGACTAATTCGATCAACGATGTTGTTAATGGAAGATTTTATTAATATTATTCAATCAGAAATAACAAAAAATCACGATTCATAATTCTCGGCCTCACCAAGCTGGATAGATATACAGCAAATCGAAACCACAGAGCACTGACCTTTAAAATCCTCAAATATGTTAAACAGACGACCGAAAAAGTTGTATGAGTATTTTTTTAAATAAAACAAGTTAAAAAAAAACACAAAAACCTCTCAAGTACTTTACACAGGCAAACTGTAAGGCTGTAATATTATTTCTGTTAATTACGATCTAAATATAAAATTCACTTAATTTAAGCAAACTGCGACACAAATTAGAACATTAATTTATTTCATAAAGGGATATAAATATGGTCTGAAAATAAATGATGCAGTGTTTTTGAAGTCACCTTCGTATTTCTAAATTAACGGCACTAACTTCTGTCAAACTTTCATCTAACATTTAAAGAGTGATGCGTCAAAAATTTTACGGAAACCACACAAAATACAGTAGTCTTTCGTGTGGTTCTTTTGTTAACAGTAGTTAACAACACTTAAATATGTATTAACCTCAAAAACGTTGACATCGTTTTTGCGTTTTTCATTTAGACGCTTTAAGGCTAATCCTCGTCTAGACTTGTTATAAAAGTTCAATTAAATCTATGGCTTTGTTTTCATAATTCTATATGAAGTAGGAAAAATGCTACTACCGAAGAAAGAAGCAAGGTTAATTGTTAGTTTTCACTGCCATTTCCATTATTTTAAAGTTGCCCTTCTACTTTGAAATACTAATATATCTTCAAACCACATAGATTATTTAAAAAACTACTTAATTAGTAGTTTTTTATTAAAAAAGGATATATAGATCAGCCCTTATCTGATATAAAAATACATTGACGATGCACTTGATTGTCAGACATATCAAATGTTTGAAATTAGAATTGAAAAAAAAAACAAGATACGACAATGTTTGTTCAGGTGATTTGGTTATACAAATCCACGAAAACATTCATAGTATTAGTTAGTTAATTAGAAATCCTAGAGATGTAATATTTTATACAAAAAATATGAACATACAACATATAAATTATGTTGCAACAAAAATCTTTCCACTGCAGACTGTAGCTGGAAATGAAACGTCCATAAAAACAAGTCCCCGGTTGTCTCCACGATGGCGACGGGGAGTGAGAAAGTATCGTGCACCAGTGATCGGTGTTTTGCACTAAACTGCGCACTTAATTGCGAAGATAACCGCACCGCAGACGCACCTGAGAATATGTACCGATGTCATACATAGTTACTGTCATGAAATCTATATCTATACTTCTATACTATTATAATAAAGCGTAAACACACACTTCTTTGTTGCCTTAGATGTCAGCAATTACAACATATTTTGAATAATTCTTTTTTTAATAAAAAGCTCTACACTTACGTCACGTTACGGCTATATATTTTCACGCCATTAAACTTAGAGAGTTTTGGATGAATTTTGAATAAAAACCCTAATGTGGGAAAGAGACCATAAGTTGCTGCCAACATCAAGGAAGCAAGATTGCCAAGTTTTGTCATGTCATGTCAGTTTGACATTTGCAATTGACAATTTTACACATGTAAACATTAAAATAATTTAATGCTGATGAAAGCGCACGGGAACAACTAGTATGTTAAAATAATCAGTCGAGATTGTTTATTACTGGTTTCTACTTTTTTTTGTTAACTTCTCCACATTACAGATTATTTGTGAAAATATTAATAAATCATATGATATTAAAAACAATGTTAATGAAAGTAAAATGTAACCAACTCGTAGAATGCAATGCATTAACCAAACCAATAATAAGATAAAAATCCCATCTAACCGTGATTTTGCACTGCAGAAAAAGTTATTCAAAATTATACTCCCATCGCAGTAATTACATTTAGAAAAACATAGGGAATTCATAGGAACCTTTCCATTCTTCTATAATTTAGGCGTTTTCTCAAAAAACACATCTTTAGTTGGTAATTGGTGACCCACATTCTCTGCCTTTCATTGAACTTGTAAAACCGTTACGTTGAAAACAGGACTTAAAGGACAACTTCCATACCAACTCAATACTGAAACAATCTTGTAATTAAATATTGTCATTTGTATCATTCTCCTTGAAAAGAAGAGACAGAAATCTGTTTTAAAGATGAAGAAGATGACCTTTGTTACTCGTGACGTAATCCGTCTTTCGAGAGTTACTCCGAAAGACACCGACAGTGCCATCGAAGGTGACTAGCAAATCCGAACTTTGATTAAACATAAGTGTGAAAGTAGAATTTTATGATAATTACAGTTAAACCCTCTTTAACCAATTTCTAGTTATTTAGAACTTTAACAGGACGGCATCGCGTGTATGATTCATATATATTTTTTTTAAATGATATCTCAATCTCATTCATCACTTAAAGTATACAAAACGAGAAATGATATAAAAATTATGATAATTCCGGTAACAAAATGGCCCCTACAGAAACATAAAAATAATAATATTGTCTTTTATGGCGTCAGTGACCATAAAATCTTGCAATTTTCGCAAAAACGGAATGCTTTTATCAAGATCAAGATGTATTCATCTTTCGATTTAAATAAGTTTCGGAGAATCATTTCTTTCATAAAGTTTGTTCTGTTACATTAATATTGCAATTGGAATCTGAAAAAACATAATGTAATTTTCTAAACTTAAGATTTTATCATTGTTTTAATATTTAATTTGATCTTTTTACATCCTCTATCGATCCGTTTTATGCAGAAAGTTTCTATTCTTTTTGTATTTCTATATGACGTTTTTTACATCTTTTAAATAGTGATAATGCTAACCATAAATGCAATGGTAACTAATTCTTCAATGAATGAATCTCGAGCGTTAGGAATCGTTCATAATTCACAAATCGAAATCCACGGTCGCATTCCCGACTATTGCAATTGCAGATAGATTATAAACGGCAGGTAGATACGATCCTCTACCCCGCCATTATGGATTCTTCACACCGCCACAAAAACCCACTGAGTACAACTCGCAAATATAACATCGCTTTTTGTATTCAAAACACGAATCCAACGAAGTAGGTACCCAACCCATTACTCGGAATTATTACAAACTAACTTACGATGGTATTTTTTTATTCCATGTTTGTTATTCTTGACACATATCGAGATTCCAGTAGCATGTAATCCGTAGCTTAAATATATGGTGGGTAGTCTATTATTTACATTTGATGTGATATTGTATTTTTTTAAATATCTTTAGCTCATTAAATTCAAAAATTTAAAAAATCTCGACTAATTGTCAAATTTGCGTTTTAAGTTAATTTAGTAGTAACTTACATAACTTATGAAACGCCATTAAAAAGTATGTAACGCTGTAAATTAATTATCTCGATGTACAAGGAAGTAATTTTGTCCGCGAACTTTTTGTATATCTTCAATTCTCTTAATATTTCGCACACGTTTTTGTATAAAGGTATACCCAATTAGTAATACGCTTAATCGTGTCTACGAGCAATTAAGATGAGATTACAGAGAAACAATGCATTTTTAATGTTAGAAACACGAAACCACAAAAGCTTGCAAACTTACAATAAGCTCCGGTGGTAGAACTCCCACAACACATTGAATTATCATTCCGTAAAAGCCTTATGACACTATATATTTCTAGTAAGACACTTCGTAATGCGATATCCACTTCACTCAATTGATTTCAAATATCGCACTATAGTAGACACTTTAAATTATTTTGTATTGTGAAAATTCACCGCGATATTTACATATACGATAGTAAGCAATGCCGTCTGATTTACACAGAGCATACGTAACGACTGGCGTCGGCGGCTTGGCGGGCGACCGGTGGCAACTTAGCTTACCGGCGTCTGCGCAGGCTTCGCGGTGGAAAGTTCATCGAACGTTGCGCCAGTGTCTATCGCGAATATCATTATTTTAATGACTGTAGATGCAATTCCGCAGTAACTTTTAGTGATTAATTACATTCTCTAAAATCACTAAGTAGTCTATATTACTATTACTTTGACCTATCTTAATATTCCAATAGGATTTATTCATACCAAAGCAAGTGCAAGTGCGTGCTGATAAGTTGTACAAAAATGTAGCGTGAAATGCGAAAATTCAATTCGATTTTATTGAACAAAACAATTGATATATTCAAATCAAAATCACCGTTTTTAAATATGAAGAAAGTATTGTTTCTGATAAGGGTCAATGTTTTCAGTACTAATTAACAGTTTTTATAAGATATTACATTAAAAATAAGGTCCATATACTAGAATTTCGTTTATTATCACTTTTTACACCTTTAAAAATTAATTTAAACGCATCACGCATATATTAAACGCATTGATTATATACTGTGTCTTATTTATCTCCATTATTTATGATAAACGGATGATTTTTGTTGAAATAAGCAATTGTAAAGTTTTATTGAATTTGGCTTTACGTTTCGAAACTTGTGCCTGAAACTTGCCAAAAAGAAATTGTCGATCGGTTTGACACCTGTCAACAAATTACACGAAGTGAATAATCGTGACTTTCAATTTTGTATCAAGAGCCGGTGTTTGTTTTTAGCTGAAAAACGATAGTTAGAAGGAAATATTTAACAATGCCTAACGTTTCAGGTAACCTTTATAACATTACACAACCTATAATTGTTGTTTAGCATAACCTTTAGGTTAGATTGAAGAAAGAAATTGTCACGGAAGTGCATTATTTTCTTTCAGGGTTTTGTTATAAAAAAGCGTATTTCGAATTAAATCTCAAGTAAATTTCGTTTCTAGATATATTTGGTGACTATTTAAAGAAAAGTGGGAGATTTACCATAACCGGCCTGACTCCTAGTACTTTGTTACAGTATAAACAAAGAAACAAATTTCACTTGCCTTAATTACTCTACTCGTTTGAACTTAAACATAAACAAAAACTTTTAAAATTCATGTTATATTTGCTGAAATATGTATTTTAGTTACCCTAAATTTAAATATTGCTTTTTAGTCTAAAAATCTCGAATAAATGTGGTAACTCATATTACGTAGGCCTTTCATAAAAGTAATGACTTTGCACATTTAATAAGGGTGCTAAATTCTAATATTATACATGGAAAAGTTTGTATGGATGTATGTTTCTATGTATTTTTAAAACAACTTTATAGATATCAATGTAATTTGACCCAGATGCTCAACATAGTCTTGAAGTATTTTTTTATTATTATAACTGTCCATATTTCAAAACTAAAATAATGTAATGTTCAGTATAATCAATATTTACTAAATAATTTCAGTGAAAGTAAAGTGGGGTAAGGAGACGTTCCCCGGTGTGGAGGTGAACACAGATGAAGAGCCAGTTGTTTTCAAGGCGCAGATATTTGCACTGACCGGAGTGCAGCCGGACAGACAGAAAGTGGTCTGCAAGGGTGTTACTCTTAGAGATGATACATGGGGCAACTTTAAATTGACTAATGTAAGATATTTGTATCTATAAGATTTTTAAATGAGTATTTTTTTGTATTAACATGTTGTTGAGAATTTTATTGATTTTCCAAGATTGAAAATTTTCACCCTATAAAAATTAATATTAGAAAAGTAGGATGTTTTTACCATTTTCATGTAATTAAAAAACTATTTCAAGTTTAACTTTTTAATGTAAACACCGAATAAAACACTAAAGAGGTTATTTAAAATCACACTTAATTCATAATGGAACAAAACAAAACAGTACACTCTTAAAATTTAATCAACTGTTGAACTCCAGTGACTATTCTATTGTGGTTAATGCATACATATATGCTGAATAATCATTTTTTCTACTTTACATTGATTTACAAAAGGAAAGTGTTCTACAAAAATTTGAAAATTTTATATGTAAGTGTAAAACTATGACTGTTTCAGAATGCTATAGTGCTTGTGATGGGTAGTAAGGAGGAAGATGTACCAGCGGCTCCTGTGGAACAAACTCGCTTTGTAGAAGACATGAATGAGGCTGAGCTAGCTACAGCTGTAAGTAACTTACTGTATTTAGTTTTTATATCTACAATCAATAAAATTTATAAAAAATCTAAACCAAGATGTAGACTTAACTTTTTATTTTTTATTTAAATTTTTTCTTAGATTTAGATTAATTACTCTAATTGTGACCAAGTGTAATATTAAGGAAATATTTTTTTTTCATTGAAAACCAAAACTTTGGGTAACACACATGAACAACTTTTCTTTTTTAATAAATTAAATTCTTCCTTCTTTCTTTTTCTATTATAAATTCATGTTCTTTTTCTTTCTATAGTGTAAAACTGTTTAATTGTCTAATGTGTTAAATCCTTGCAGCTAGATCTTCCGGAAGGTCTGATGAATTTAGGCAACACATGCTACATGAATGCAACTGTTCAGTGTCTCAAAACTGTCCCAGAGTTGAAGAATGCGCTATTGAATTACGACAAATGTGAGTTTCAGTTTAATCTATACTTATATTGTAAAAAGGAAAGATTTGTACTTTTGTATGTAGGGAAATAATTTAAAAATTGCTTGTATGTTTAAAAAAAATGTATTAAAAAGCTGCTGTCACTGAGTAACTTTTCATATTGATAGTTAATTGATTTAATTCCGTTTTCATACTTTTGACCGAATTCCCAAAAGAATACTCAATTCATCTGTTTGTGTTTTTATTTTTATCTGTGTTATTTGATTTTGGAAATTCTTTTTTTATCCGAAAGTTAGGGCTTGCATGTGGGTCCCATATTTTATTCCATGCAAAAATCACGAGTGACATGTAGTGTAATTATAAAAATATGAATTGCAGTATTTTAAATGCATTTAAAATACTGGGCTGATGGATAACTCCATTATTTGTTGTATATAGCGTCAGGAGGCGGAACCGCGGGTGAGTTGACGTGCGCTCTGAGTGATACGATGCGGACATTAGAGGGTGGGCAGGCGGGCGCGTGTGCGGTGGCGACAGCCAAACTCCTGCACGCGCTGCACGAGGCGGCGCCGAGGTTCGCGGAGCGCGGCGCCGGGGGGGGCTTCGCGCAGCAAGACGCCTCTGAATGCTGGAGCGAGATTGTCCGTGCGCTTCAGAACAGGCTACCTGTCGCTGCGCCTGCGCCAGGGGACAGGTATAAACTGCATTCATATGTATTTCATTTATTTACAGAATATTATGTATGTATGTTAATTTCACACATATTTTGTTATTATTACTTGACTACACTACACTCTTATATAATACTAGCTGTTTCCCTGCGATTTCAACGGCAAAAATTATGAAAATTTTGTTTAATTGTTTACATGTGTCAAATTATCAATTGCAAATGTCAAAATGACATGACGCTGACAAACCATGGCAACCTTGCTTTCTTGATGTTGGCAGCAACTTATGGTCTCTTTTCCACATTAGGGTTTTTATCCAAAATATTTAAGTTTAATGGCGTGAAAATATATAGCCTAAAGCGTGACGTACGTGTAAGGCTTTTTAATAAAAAAAGAATTATTCAAAAATATGCCATCTTAGGCAACAAAGAAGTGTGTGTTTACGCTTTATTATAATAGTATAGATTGTTTCCCTGTACCTGCGGACAAACCAATGATATGGTTTTTGAAAACAAAAGTTTTTAAACGAATGTAAATGTATTCATATTTATGTAGATAATTTTACACTACTATGCTTTAATTTCTGTTCTGTAATTAAACTAGCAATATTCTATTATTTGTTTCAACTACTAAAGATATTGTTTGAATGTTGACAAAAGCTAGAGGTGTCTAATCACCTTGCAAGTGCAAAAAATATTATTACTTGATTCATGTCTTTTACTCAGGACATCCATAGTGGAGCAGTATTTCGGTGGCGAGCTGGACGTGGAGCTGGTCTGCGCGGAGGCGGAGGAGCCTCCCTCGCGCAGCACGGAGTCCTTCCTGCAGCTGTCCTGCTTCATCTCGCAGGATGTCAAGTATCTGCAGTCTGGACTAAGATCTGTAAGTCAATACATGAATAAAATCTTACTAGTATTATAAATGTGAAAGTTTAGATGGATGTTTGTTAGTTTGTAGCCTAAATGGCTGAACGAATTTCGATGAAATTTGGCATAGATGTAGAGGATAGTCGGGATGAACACGTAGGCTATTCACGTTTGTTTTTTTCAGTCAGAACGGAGTCGCGGGAGAAAGCTAGTAATAAATAAATATATTAAATCCTTATTGTTCTGAATATAATTTATGTTAATTCATAAGGTCCATATTTTGATTAACTTTGTAGATAATTAAATTAAATTATTATAGAAAATATCTCAGATAAGAAGAAATGGTTTCTAATTTCTAATTAGGTACTGAAATTGTATGCTTCTGTACTTATAGTTGCATCGTTGTTGGTAAGTTGTTAGTTTGATAATTAATTTATTTTTATTGTTACAGAAAATGTCGGAACAAATAACAAAAATGTCACAAACATTGGGCAGGGATGCTGTTTACACAAAGACTGTAAGTCACTTTATGTTTATTTAAATCAACTTACATTTAAACTACAAATATTTTTAAGACACTCTTACATTTTGATATTTAATTCATAAATAATGAAAAAAATATTCTCCAAAGAATCCATAATAACTATAACCAAATATCAGCAAAGAATTAAGATTGCTACGATTACCTAAATTCTCAACAAAAGGCCTCCATTATAATTTATTTATTAAGAGCTTTATGCAATGTAAACAATAAAATATATTTTTTTAATGTCATGAACATAAAGCTGTACTGAAATAGCTACTAATATAATGAAAAAACTTAATAGAATTGATATTTCAGAGTAAAATCAGCCGCCTGCCAGCATATCTGACAGTTCAGTTTGTGCGCTTCTACTACAAGGAGAAGGAATCTATCAACGCTAAGATCCTCAAGGATGTGAAGTTCCCGCTGGACCTGGATGTGTTTGAACTCTGCTCACCGGAGCTGCAGGAGAGACTCGCGCCCATGAGAGCCAAGTTCAAGGTTAGTGTCGGATTACACTGATGAAATAACTAAACAAAAACTGTGTCAAAATATGTGACTGGTTATGTCATTATTTTAATATAGTAGAACCCCGATAACTCAAACCTTGGTAACTTAAAAACCTCTACAAGTTCAAAAAATAATATGTTCCTTTACTGGCAGAGCCCAAAACTTCTACCACAAAGACCCTTGATAACTTAAAATATTTTGTGTTTCCCTTGGACTTTAACTTATCGAGCCTCTACTGTACTAGCTTTCGCCCGCCACTCCGTCCGCGTGGAATTTAAAAAAAAAAGAGTAGCCTATCTATACATCTATACCAAATTTCATCGAAATCTGTTCAGCCGTTTAGGCTACAAACTCTAACAAACATCCATCCATCCAAACTTTTTCATTTATAATATTAGTGTATTAAATGTCACTCCGATTGTGTGATTCAACCTGAAGTTAATATTTAGTGTTGAATTTTCATAAATTTTGATTCTGAGTATGACTGAAGCTTGTGCAGACGCTCAGGTTTAAATCAACAGTTTAACTGTTTAGTAAAACTGTCTGTAGTCAAAATTTTAACTGTACTTGTTAACTGATGTTTAAAATTTTAATAAAAACTTTGACTCTTCATTAAATCTGTCAGAACTGAAGGTAGATAGCGGGCTTAATTTCAATATTCTCAAAGTTATATTATTATTTATATGTGAAATGATGATTTTTATTTAATTTTCAGGAAGTAGATGATGCAAAGGTAGAGTCTACACTAAGTGGAAAGAATAAAAGTCATGGTGACTCCAGAAAAGATCCTAAAAGGAAAGCAGTTTTTCCGTATTGGTTTGAAAATGGTAAAAATAATTTTTCAATACAAGGTTTTTACATTATTTTGTGGTATAAACCATCTGATAAATCACTAGTTGTTGCTAGAGACTTCGTCCGCGTGAAATTAAAAAAAAAATTAAATATAACATAACCTATGTTACTTACAGATAAATTACCTTTCCAATGGTAAAAGAATTTTTGAAACCGGCCCAGTTGTTTTGACGTGAATCGAATGTGTACAAAAATCCAAATCTTTTCTCTTTATTATAATAGTAAAGACTAGCTTTGCTCGCGACTTTGCCCGCGTGATAACGTTGCTATTCATTGGTGCAAGAATGTTAAAATAGGCCCAGTAGTTTTTGAGTTATTTCAATAAAAATACAAAATTTTTCCTCTTTATAATAATAGTATAGATCTTTTATTGTGTTTTTTTTGTTATTTCTAATTGTGTTGCTATATAAGGGATTAATTGTGTGCAGACGTGGGCAGCAACAACAGCGGGCTGTACCGGCTGCAGGCGGTGCTGACGCACCGCGGGCGCTCCTCGTCCTCCGGGCACTACGTGGCGTGGGTGCGGCGCGCCGCCGGCTGGCTGCGCTGCGACGACGACACCGTCTCGCCCGTCACAGAGGAGGAGGTGCTCAAACTCAGCGGAGGAGGTAACACTTCATTTTACTCCCTTTCTCTTTCCCCCTTTTCTTAAGAGGAATGTATGAGTTGGATGGATTTATTTCTAAGTTAAACTTAGAAATAAATCCATCCAACTTTTATACCGAGTTTATTTGTAATTCTTGTAAATTGTAGGGGTTACGGAAATTTTTAAGAAACTCAGCAATATTTATCAATCCGAATTACGATCTCCAGCGGTTTGGAATTTAACAGGTTTTTTTTAAAACGAAAACATTTTTAGCCTAGCCATTGTCTTTAAATATGATTTGTACTTTTGTTCAGGTGACTGGCACTGCGCCTACCTCCTGCTGTACGGGCCTAGGATCCTGGAGATCCCAGAGGAGGACGAGCCTATGGTGACGGAGGCTAGTGAGGACCCCGCAGGACAGCCCCCCACCGCCCTCGCTTAGACCAACGCAAGCTGACCCTCGCTCACACATCCTAACAACGCAGCAGCGGCTCTAGAAATGATGGCTTCCGTAGATATCTATCGCCTAATAAATGTCTTACGCATAGAAAGCTCATTCTTATTTGAAAATAATTTTCTGCACTCCGAGTCGTTATTCGGTCAATTCGGTCGGTTCTCTCTTAGTGACTAAGAACCTTAGGGATCTACAGACCTTTCGGATTTACAGAGCTAAGTGACCTAGGGACATTCGTAACCACCAAACGACTCTGAGTATGAGAGTACATAAAATAATATTTAAAATATTACATAAAAAATGTATTCAACTTTCTACGAATTTTACAAGCATGTCATTTCTAGAACTTTCGTTGGTTCCGTTTTTGTATTGATTCGCTGATATTGTACTCGCATCTGTCATAATAAGTGTATTTATTTAAATATAAAAATGTTATGTGAATATAATTTGAAAGAATAATTTCTGTTTCTTTTTACGTACAATGAATTTAAATAGTGTTTAAGTGAGCTTTGGAAAACGGAACCTGATTTTCAACATAATTTTCTAAAAAGCATTTAAAATGCTGTATTTAATTTTTGCTGTAGAATAACTTGTATCTACACATGTGTATTTTCAGAGGATGAGAAAACTACATGTTTTCATACAAGTGTGTCAAAAGTGAAAACGTACGCAGAGACTCATGTGGGCGCGTCTGTTATCTATTGTTCTATATGATTCTATTGAATTTGATAAGACTAATTATACTAAAATGATAGATAAATAAATATTAAATGATTATCAAATGAATTTTATTTATTGTACCTTTAACAAACAAAAACATGAAATCCAAATATCCTTGTGTCATTTTTATCGCCAACTTGGGATAAAATTCTGAAGAAAGACCAGCGAATCCGTGTCTATTTTTACCTGTTGAAGAATCATATATTCATTCATTATAAATGCGAAAGTTTAGATGGATGGATGTTTGTTAGAGTTTGTAACCTAAACGGCTGGGCGGATTTCGATAAATTTAGTATAGATGTAGAGGATAATCTGGAAGAACACATAGAACACACTTTTGTTTATTTTTAAATTCCACGCCGGCGAAAGCTAGTAGAAGTAGGTTATAAAACGTATGAATTTACCGCCAAAAAAGGTTTTCTTCTCTTAAATTCCGTTTAAAAACTACATCTGTCAAAAATATGTCAATGTCATAAAAGTTTGTCATATTGTAAAAAGTATAATTAAGATTTACATTTAATTAGGATTATTTAATAAGCTTTGGTAAAATGTGTATATCAAAATTTAAAACTCTATTATATTTCGCCGGCGGGTTTACTCTGGGCCAACTATACTATTTCTACTTCCTGAAAGAAATACAACTTCCTTGTAACATTGGGATCATCTTAGCCTTTATTATTAGTATCATTTTGGGTAAGAAATAAATCATAATTTAATTACATTCTATAAAAAGATGAATAACAATATAATCCGTAACTATTATATACCGTAAGCGCATCAAAACCGTTTTAATTTTTTCAAATTAAGGAATTGAAAGTCTATTTCTTCGCTTACTTTTAAGCTTAGCTTATTACGTTTTCATAAAATAGTATTCACGGAAATCATTACAACTCCCTTTTATCCTTATTAAATATTTGTAAGTCAATTTCAATAGACTATTTGCAAAGGGTATCCGCGTATCAGCTAAACAGAGATCTAATTAGCATATTTCTGGTAGCAGACTGTAACAAATAAATACAACTGGCAACATTTGTATGTTATCGATAAATGTATCTTTGAATACAGTGAGCCATATTGCCATTATCTTGAACCATGATATCTGAACAAATTACTAAATATCTGCTTTGTACACTAATGAGTATACATTGTTTTAGTAATTTTATCTATTACTTGACAATAACGTGACATTTGTATGGCGTTTAAAGAGTACCTAAACACAGTTTTATTGGTTACCCGCTAGGTGTCGGTAATGCAGCGTCGATACAAATGCGCTGCATCTCGCTTCTGATGCTGCCCATGTACTGCGGAAAGGCGGGCCGTGGCGTGCTCAAAGCTGTTGTACTCACATACGTTATAGCAGGTTATTCAAAATCTTTGAACTAAAGGAAACCTCAATAAATTGCATACTAAAATGTGGCTAACAGCTTATGTAGATGTCCTTCTACCCTAAAAAATAAAACAATTTACCTGCCAGGGCCTATAACGAACATGGGGTATAACGCCAAGGAGGTAGTCCGCGTGTTCGCTTGCAGCGCCCAGCTTTCTTACAATCTGTCGGTGTTACGATACAAGCTAATGGCGGGACCGATTAAGAAAGCTATACTCGCCTCCAGGTCGCAGATCAATGTGTTCAAGGATACGTTTAGGTGTGTACAAAGTATTAAATCCATATCCTACTTACAAACGCAAAGAAAATTGTCATCATAACAATTATGTTGCTGACTTTTCTTAGTGGAAATAAAAGTCCTCGACTTTATATATTCGTTTGATATATATTTATAGTTCTTTTTGCATTATCAAAGATCAATTGATGAAATAGTAACACCGATAGAAAACGAAATAGAAGGAACAGAAGAATTGGTACAGATTATGCGACGAAATGTTGACGATGTTGTTGATAAAAAGTATCTCACAAGAGAAATTGAGGAAAACTATAGGCAAGTTAATTTACTATTTATTTTTACAATAGAAGTATCAATTAGTTTATTTATTAGATAATCTATTAAAATGAAATATGATATCCCACCTTTTTATCGAAACTGCGTTACTACGTTTATTTAGAGATGAGGGTTGATGGACAAAGTAACAGAAAAAAATCTTTATAACAACCGTACTATTGACAAATGAATGATTGCACTGTTAAACATTTTAATAATTCAAATCTGTCTACTGTCGTTCTTCGTAGAGATGCAAGTGAAAGTTTTCTACAAGATAGATATCTCAACAAACTATCTTGCCGCTGCAAGGAGCTGATATCACGAGGTATTAATAAATGCGGGAAGATGTTCGTCACAGCATTCGAGGACTGCTACTCCGCCGCACGCGCACACTTCGATCACAGCGTCTGTTGGCCTCTGAACACGCAGTCAGCTTGTGATCTGAAAAGATTTCTTAATGGAACTGAGCTATGTGATGCCATTGATCAGGTATATTTGAATTTCACCTTTTAATTTACTTAAAAAATATCTCGTATACCTTCACATTCTTTTCAAAATAGCTTACAGTCTGTTTTAAGAGAAGTATTTCGCCAGTGGTATTTTAGTGTAATATATATTACGTTTATAGATTGATCCTGGTCTAGGCGAGGGCTATCTATATCTGAAGAAAGTTCAGAAAAAATTGACAGATAACCTAAAAGACGTAAGATTGCAGTACAAAGTCACATATGAGAGAGAACTCTATGATGTTCAGGTTTGTTTACCTATATTTTATTTAGCTTTTGTCCGTAAATAGCCTATGTGTTCTTCCAAACTATACATGCCAAATTTCATCTAGATTCGTTTATCCGTTTTGAATATAAACTCTAACAATATCCATCCAATTTTTGCATTGATAATATTAGTATACAAAAAAGATTTTAAACACTTTAAAAAAAGTCTTAGCTGCCAGTTGCATATCCGCTAAATTCAGTATACTTCTAGATGCATCTGCCATTTATCTTGTAGGATGCGAAAGAGACAGGTAAACGTGTGATGCACGAGTTCGAGCAGCGCGGCGGCAGTATGCAGCGCGTGCTGAGCGCGGTCAACGTGTGCCTGGCGCTCATACTGCTGCGCATAGTGCTCGCCGCGCAGGCGCACCACGATAGATACCTCACTAACATCACATACGACAATATCTACATCACGTCCTACTTCAAAAGAATCGATAAGAGGCGGAAATTGAAGAATAAAAGTTCGTTACTTCCGTTGAAGAAGGTACTAATAAGAAACAAGTATTAAAACATGAAGAGATGGCAAGATATTCTTATTCACTTATCCAAGGTTTCACCTTTACTAATGTATAGGTCGAGACAATAATAGTAAAATATTTAAGGTCTGTCCCACCAAATTGTAAATTGTCTGATAACAATCCAAAGTGTAAAAAATGTGATGGAAATATTGGTTTTTGTTCCCTTATCTGACAGTGACATTTAAAGCTATCTGAGCCTCTATCAGCCAGTGGTGGGACAGGTCCTTAGAATTTTCGTTAACTTCTAAGATGAAATTTTTAGTGCACGTAGCATTAGTTTTGTAATGAAACCTACTAAAAGATTCATGAACAATTAAAGCTTATTCAAAATGTATCTACGAGTTTTTCGTTAGTACAAGAATTTAATTTTAATATAGATGGAACGCAACAAGTACGTAGACGTGCACTCACTAGAGTACAAGTCGTCGCAGCGCAGTCAGCTGGTGACTCCTATCCACAAAGTGCTACTGGAGGTGGTGACGGCCACCACCTTTGTTATGCTCGATAGACTCTTCTACGAGGCACTGGACGTGGTGCGTCAGCACGCGGATGTCGGCGTCGCGCAACAAGGCACCAGGGATTTAGAAATTGAAGTATGATTATTTAAGAAATATAGGACTCCGCAGACATAGCCTGATTTTTAAACGCTTTTGCGTTTTGTCGCATAAGTTGGTTGCATCTCCTTTTTTGTCTGCTTCTTCTCTTTTTAAGAAGTAGTCAAAACGAAGAAGTTGCGAGCAATATCAAGTAATTAATATAGAAAATTGATAATTTAAAATTGTAATGGTAGTTCTCTGCTTAAATTATGGTTGTTTGCTTCTTGTAATTATTAAACTATCCAGGTGGAAGGCCAAGGTACAGTGGCGACTATGATGCGTAATATATTGAGTCGTCTGAACGAGACACGCCACGTGCACGTGTCCAACGAGCTGTGTCTCCCGCGCCCGCGCGCTATGCCCACTGTCTACTTCATCAAGATATACTGCGGCTATCTCTGGATACTACTATTGCTATATTTGAACCCTTACACGCTGCGGTTAAACAGGTTTGAAATCTATCATACTTATATTGTAAATGCGAAATTTTAGATGGATGTTTGTTAGATTTTGTAACCTAAACGGCTAAACGGATTACGATGAAATTTGGAAAAGATGAAAGGGTAGTCTGGAAGAACACATAGGCTACTCACTTTTGTTTTTTTAATTCCACGCGGACGGAGTCGTGGGCGAAAGATAGTTATGAATAAGTTTCAACGATGGAATATTAAGACCAAAATTCTATCTATTTTAGGCAGTTGCAGAAATCAATAACAATAAATATGTCTTTAGATTGATATGCAGTTATTTTTACCCGAAGCGTGAGAAGCAACGTATTCTACACTTGTACAACGACATTCTCAAGAAACGTATGAAGATGCAGAAGACGCTGCGGAGGAAGGCGCTGCAGGCGGTGCGCGCACAGTACCTCTCCGGGGAGAACCTACGCAGTTTGAGAATGAGGTAGACACGACACTTTTTGTTATAATATTCTCTACTAATAATAATGAAAAGGTATTTCGTCATAATTACCGAAGGAACCTAAAACTAAAGGTCCCATGTTTTATTTGCCTCGTTTAGTGGAATTTTCTTTTCTCGTTATTAAATCTATTTAGGGATAGTAGAGTATAGAAATGTTGACTGGAACATTAGGTAACCTAGTTACATTTGTCTGGTTGCTATATCTTCTTGATTAATAAGATCTATCTATGCTTGAAATAATGTTTTTCTTAGGTTCCCTCAACTACTCGGCTGGCTGTCAGTATTCCCAGCAGCGAGGATGACTTGCCTAATTTGTGGAGAAACTGAACCTAGGTGTATATGTAAGTTTGAAATATATTACGATTATTAAAATGTATATGTAGGTTACGAATGAAAACTTTTGTGTTTAGCGTCCTCGTGTACATGGCATCGTTGCATGTCGGCGTCGTGCGGGTTCGCGTGGTGCGACGAGTGCTGGCGCGCGGGCGGCGGCCGCTGCCTCGCCTGCGACCCGCTCACCCGGCTCAGCGACCTCGACTCGCGTAGTGAAGATCAGCTCGAATATTAACAGTACATTATCGCTAATTAGCTTACATAAGAGTTATAATTTAATAAATACTTAAAACTATTATGCTTTTTTCTCTTTTAATAAACCATTTATCATTTCAAACGTTTGCAGACAAAATAAAATAGAAGTGATTAAATTATTATTTATTAAATTCAAAATAATCCGTACTCGAGTTGTTCGCCGACAGTAAGGTTGCTGACGAACTGTATGTTGTCGGCCACTTCGTTGCAGAGCAGCGCCAGTCCCGACGGCTGCCCATCCTCCGGTGGGTTGAAGTTGTACACCAGCTAACATAAATAACAGAAACCACAGTAATGTTTTACAGAAATTTTAGGTTATACTAGCTGTTGCCTGCGCTTTCGTCTACGCAATATTAAGATAAAACGTAGCCTATAATATGCCCGTCTATGTCTGCTACCTTTCAGTGAAAGTTCGGTCGAAATCGGCTCAGCTGTTTCGGCGAATACTCGGAACAAACGCGGCTTGTGGACGGACAGACAGACAAACAAAATTAAATGCGATCTTCGTTATCAGCAAGGCAAATACATCATCTGGAAATCTGCAATTCTTGTGACGTTACAAACAGACACTCCAATTTTATTACATGTATAGATTATATGATAATTTAAAACTGACGTAGTTAACTACACGTTAAAAGACAAGAGATAGATACTACAGATACTACAGAAAACCCAATCGTAGGTTACCGGTGCACTAGTATGTATTGTCTGAACCTGAGATAACAATATAATTGTATTGTTTAGATAGTAAAGAATCACGATTACACGTACAGATAAAAATTCATCATAAGTGATCCAGCCGTCATTGTCTGAATCAGCACTACTATATTTCTCTTTGCGGGTCTCCATCGATGTCTCATCGCCGAGGCTCTCCAGCACCGCACAGCTGCAATATTCTCACAAGTATCTATTACTAGTTGTTGCTCGTAACTTCGCCCGCGTGAATTTCAAAATATAGCCTATGTTACTGGTAACATAGCTTTATAATGATGAACGAATTTTTGAAATCTGCCCGGTAGTTTTTGAGTTGTTACAATACAAATCTTTCCTCTTTATAATATTAGAGTAGATGTTGACTGGCTAATGTTAAGCATTCAAAACAGTCAAATGACAGTAATCACCGCGTGAACTGAACTCCCCACCCTTAACTATTACATAGGTTGAATATTTAATAACTAACAAGTCATCAAATCCAAGCATCCCATTTGACTGGTTGTCAAAGAGTAGGAACAAGCTGTGCAGGTTGGCAATGGTGACTTCATTCCAGCCGGGGAACCGCTGCACCACTTTCTGCATGCTCCAGCGACGGTCGTGTTCTTTCATTTCCTATGGGGAAAATCTCTACATGTCCTGATCTTTTAAGTATATGCTCGAATCACGCAACCCTCCGACTATTGCGTATTTTGTGTGATGGAACTGAATTCTAGAGTAGTTTAAGATACTTTTGGCCTTTGGAGGAGCATAAAAGTACTAAATAATATTTACCTGATTGTATTGCCGCTGTTCAGTTAATCGCTTGTAGAAAAGATCCACAAGCTTATCGTAATCTGTCATAGTAGTTTTGATAGTCTCGGACACGTTCTTTTGGGGCTCACCTTAGAAGCAAAAATATGATCAATTTGGAATATTTAAGACATTTTACCAAAAATTTAAATATTAAACCTGTAGCCGTGAAGTCTTCTTGTCTATAAAAACATATTGGTTTTCGCTTCACTGGATACTCAAAGAACCTCCCCAAACCAGTAAATATTGTACTCAATTGGTGACCCATTTTTTATCGCTTCTTGTCCTTCGCGATTTAATCACTTTTGACATATAGACTATGGTAACTAAGTAGGGATAAGAAAAAATTCAAAATAACATTTTAAAGGGCAATCTTATAAGTTTTATTTAAAATTATTTTCGAATTGAATCCCGCACAAAAACATTGCACTCACACTCACATGTTTAATACATACTATCTTTAAGAATACATTCTCTCTTTAAGAATACATCCTATCTTAAAGAATACATTCTCTATATTTAAGAATACATTCTCTATCCATAAGTATACCATTAGCGACAGACACAAGGCAAGTTGTTGGGAAGATTTTCATGGTGTAGTTTAGTTTCTTATTTGTTGAAATATAATACATAATACAATACAGTTAATTATGACTTTATTTCTAAATTACAACATACATTTTTATTTGCTTGCTCATAGTTACTAAGGATAAAGAGGAAGCCGAGGTGAATACATGGGATATATAAATAAAAGCCCATTTTCTATCAATCAGTTGATTAATTTTCATACAAAATTCCATTAAAAATTTCAAAAATTCCATGACATAATATAGCGTCATGCGCAATTGATAAGATTATAAGGGACAAAGTAATGACTTTACACATAGGGTAAATAATAAGGTAAATGAAATATGGTAGGCAGTAAATTATTCTAAATTAAAATATAGGAACATTTATAAAATTTCAGTCTTCATTCAACAATATTACAGAAATGTAACATAAGATATAGATAAAAAAAAAGAAAAGACTGTTGTCAACTCGCGCTAAACGGAGGCATTTTATATTATTTTTTAGGGATTTTTTTTGCGCCTCGTTTAGAAGGAAGAAACAAATACGAAGTGCGTTATGATAATACAGCTTATACTAGTAGACAACAGACTTCTACGGCGGAGATCTAACCCCCGCGAAATTAAACCCAATCAGTCTTTAATACATTTTGAGGTAGACGCGGTTATATTAAGTTTGAACACGACTATGCACCGACCCCGGCGTCACCCGGGACCGTGTGCCAAATACTACATACACCAGATATACTGCGTCATTCGTCCCCCCTTTGGTGGGAAACAAGGGTCCAGACTATCTGTATGTTTAGTACACAAAATAATATATTTAGCATAATCAGTACATCCAATATTTCAGTAACTATAATGCAAATACAACAAGTTTCATGTAGCAAAGGGGAGATCAATGAGTAATTTTTAATTACACTAAGACTAACACAACACAAGCGCCTATTTAACGTTAAAAATAGCACGAAAATGGCTCAATACATTTCGCTAAAAATCTCATACAATTATAGCAAATATTATGCAGTACTTCGTGCGCCCGCCGCGTCGCCGCCGCATCGCCGTCTCGGGTCCCACAGCGCTGGATGTGGATGTCTAAATCAACTCGCAGCTCGTGGATATTATCGAACGTTAAAAAAGTCGTACAAAATCTATCATCACGCATCGATTAAGTTCTTCAATTTTATTGTTTCTATCACAAAACCACATTTTACTGCTAGCAGCTAGCAGCTCTCACAAGTTCACCCTCTGTTGCGATCAAATCCACTTCGTTATTTCAATACCCATGCTCTGCAACCCCCACCCCCCACCCCCACCCCTACACTTTTATAAAGTGCTTGCTACGCGACCACGGCTACCCACCTCACTGACAGATTGACTTACACATTAAAGGACTTCGAAACTAGACCTGACCACACGAGTGGTAAAGCAGCGATAAGGGAGCCTCTTGTAGCAAAACTTTTGACATAGCCAAGAAAACGTTCAGACGTAAACAAATTAAAAACTAATAAATACACAATAAATCGTTCCGAATTAAATGCGTTACAAAATTAAGTATTTCTTTAGCAGCTTTCAGCCGAGTCACTCTTATAAAGTAATCACCGCTCGAGAATATCAGGACTAATGTTTTCGCGGAAATTTTTAAAAAGTACTGTATTTAATAGTTAGTTAACTAGTTTTAGACGTTGGTATATAAACTGTAGGTCTATGGCGAGTTATGATTGAATACAATAAGTATGGCGTACACAGTTGAGATCCTGAGCGGGCGGACATAACACCTAGTGATTCACAATGGGAGACTGGTAACATTCTAAGAGTGCACTAGTCGATCACGTTAGATTGCGCCGGACTTTGCTTTGCAAATCCATTTGTCTGAATGTCAAAACAAAGATGAACTTACGGATTTCATTCGAACATGAGATTCGTCGTCACCTTTACAAAAATATCTGTCACGTGGACACTTTTAATTATTCTTTTTGAAATAATATAATAATTAAAAAAAAATGCATTTCATGCAAACACATCATTATAAAAAATAATAACATAATACTTTAATAATGGCACTGAACGAAAAGTAAGTTACGATAAAACTATAAACACTAATGTATCAGATGAAAGAGTTACGATTGAGGATGAAGCCAATTGACCGCTGCGGCGCAAACACTGCACGCTGACTACAGTGAACCGATCGCAAGTCTACCCTCACGTTACAGCTTTAGAGATCAAATTTTCTTCAACTACCCTCATCATTGGCGTATCTCGTACCAACGAATCCAGTAGTATTCCAATTTCCCAACGCAACGGCAACCTTGAGAGCGGTTCAGGATAATATATAGTATACACAGTACTAACCACTCCTATTTTATCTACACTTCAAACAAGAATTTTCCATGACTTAATTATCTTATAAACAATTCAGACTCATCAAAAGAATTTTAATTTTTTTTTGTTTTTACTTGAAAATTATTAGCTAAAGCAACTGGTAATTTTTGTTTGAAGCTTTTAACACTAATTTATGTAGCTTAAATTATCTTATTCGCAAGTAACTTAGCCTAAGCCTACATCTAAGTACAAAGGTGAAAAATTTTATTCTAATTTTTTTTATTAAATTACTTTTACGACAAATTAGTTTCAGCGAGCCAATAACTGTTGTATTAATTGTGCGTATTACTAGTATATTATCAAGTTTTTGTCTAATATTTGAGTTTATTTAGTTATCATTAAATTCTTAATAATAGTAAGCTGAGGGGGCCAGATATTATTTTACAAAGCGTTTAGAGAATTTTCTGAAGTAATACGTTCGCATTAACAACTAGCTAAAATTCTAATAATAGTACATATAGTTATAATTTAACTAGAAGCTCACGCACTCCATTACCTAATAGTAAAGTCGAATAGAAAAAAGTTCAAGGGAAACCGATTAAAAGTCTTGCAAACTTATTAATTAAAACGTTCGGTTAAACGTGCTAACTTTTTGTTAATTAGCGAAATGAAATCGTAATAAAAATTATTTTCACCAAGTGAGCAACACGTCCACACAAGCCGACAGCAAACGCGACACTAACTTATATTAAGAGTTACATATTGAACACATACTGACTGAACACAGTGTTTTATGTCGCATCATATCGACATTTATACATTAATTCAAACAAACAATTTCGCTACTATATTTGAACTAATACGTGAATTTTGACGGTAACAACTAATTAAAAATTATTATGTAGATGAATATTTTATATTTATAATTACCTATAACAACAATTGTTTTACTGCGCCTTACACATACCTAAACGTGAAATTATACCATTTCTCTACATCCACATTATATTACTAATGCTATACGGATAACATCAATTTAGTTTCGAAAAAGTTAGGCAGTCAAAAAAATCTCATAAAAAAAAACATTAAAAAAATGGCAAACTCTAACATAAAATAAAAAATATATCACGAATAAAAAAAAATCTTTTCGACTTGTGTTCGGTTGCCGATAAATTTATCATAGTAATGATACAATAATACCTATGTTTTGGTAATAAGAACTAGCATTAGACGTAACGCGACGCCCCGCCCCCCGCCCCGCCTCCCCGCCCCGCCCACACGCATCCCCACCACGGCATCCGGCCTCAACGTCTTTAAGACAGTCTTCTAAAGTCAGTCTTAAAGTTTTATTGCATTAATTTGTTAGCTCCGTTGCCACGTCCCTTTATCCGTTTCCAGATGCAAACAAAAGACATAAAATCAAGCAAATACTAAAAACTATTATTACCAATAAAAGCGCAGTGCCAAAAAAAACGCTCCGTTAAAATATAACATACGTATGTAAATTATATGCGCAAAATAACTTATAATACAAATTAACGCCTGTCTTGTCGTTAACTAAGAGAACGCAAAAGTAACGTTTTGGAAAATACTTTTCAAGTTATTTTTTTTTAAATTATCTCACATAAAACATCTTTTAAATCACAATGTGATCTTTATCATATAATAGTTTTTACGATTCAATTACTTTCGTCTAATAGTTATCTATATATTGTTTAATATTGGATATAGAATGAATTATATTTAGTGCTTTACAGAGTACAATATGACTGATACAGTTCAGTAACAATAAGCTAAGTGTGTAGTGTATGTGTCTATAATATATTATGTGATACAACATTACTGTTACGGCGTACTATATCGTTTGGTGCTTACAGACTAGTGTCATACGGAAACAAAAATATCGAAATAACATGGTAACGAAACATCCATCAAAAGTATTTAAAAGAAATTATTGATTTGCGCAAAACATAACAAAATATCAGCAAACGCCGATTCTCCGTACAAGCTATGCTCGATTCAGATTTTTGCGAAATATTAATAATAAAATTGGCACATCATGAAATCAATCACAAATAAAACAAAACAAAATAAAATAATATTGTGAGCGCAAGGGCCCGTGGTGCCGGCCGCCTGCGAGGCGCTTATATCCGTCAGTAAACCTTGATATACTGCTTGCCGTGGGAGGTGACGTCGCGCGCCGTGTCCGGCAGCGTCTCGAACAGCACCACCAAGTAGCCCTCCGGCGTCAGCGCCACGTCACTGGGTCGATCCTTGTCGTCCAGCCCCGGACTCTTCAGGTCCACGGCCCACAGGATACGAAGCTCTGACGTGAACACGAGCACGCGGTGATTCTTTGAATCCGCCACTATGATTCGTCCGTCGTCATCTGTCACTATACCTGAGGGACGGTTAAGTTCCCCTATGCCAGACCCCTCGCGACCCATGCAGTGGATAACCTTCGATAGAGTTGGATCCACCATGAGGAGGCGATGGTTCTCAAAGTCAGAGACGATTATATTGCCGTTGGTTGTAAAACAAACGCCCCTCGGCGTCGTCGGTCCTTTCAGGAGCTTTGCGGGATTCGCTGCTTCAAACACGAACTTGGTGATGTAAGTTCCGTCGCTGGTGAACAGTTGAATGCGATGATTTCTCGTGTCAGTGACTACGATATTACCCAGCGTGTTGACCGCAACATCCCACGGATATTGGAATTGCCCACATTCCTTGCCGAACGAGCCGAACTTAAGTATGAAATTACCGGCCGATGTAAAGATTTGCACTCTATGATTATCCTTATCGATGACAATTATCCGGCCGTAGGTGTCTGTGGTGATTCCTGCGGGTAGATCAAATTCTCCAGGTCCCGTGCCTTTTGCACCAAACATAGTTTTAAATTCGCCGCGATTATTAAATATCTGAATGCGATTATTTCGTCTATCCGCAACGATGATATTGCCTTCTCTGTCTACGCACAGACCCCACGGTCTGGACACCTGTCCTTCGTCTTGGCCTTCTTTGCCAAAAGAAAACATAGGAACTCCGGGGACGGGGCTCCTTGTCGGTCTCACCGATACAGATAGCCAGTATCCCGGAATCGCTTGACCGACTCCGCGTGCTGGATTTGCATCCATTGCAATACTTGACGATATGCTGTGGTCGTAATAGTTGGTAGACCTCGTAGGATTATTGGGATATTCCGATAAATTTCTGAGGGTATTAGATGCCGAAATATGATAAGACAAGGGTGAAAAAGATTGAGCAGACTGCAATGATTGTAGCGACATTAACGACTGACGAGACTGGATCGATGACGTCGACGTCAGAGCATGCATCGACACGGCCGGCGTGGGTTGAACGTCACATTGGCGCTTTATTTGATCAACCAAATCGTAGTTAGGCGGCACGAACATAATTCTCTCTTCTGCGATGTACATATTTTTAAACATACAGGAAAAATAGTCTACTTGAGCTCTACCTTTTTCTTTGGCCATGAACAAATCTATGCCCTCGGAGTCCATACTGCGTACCAAGGTCTCATTGGTGTGCGCCAGACCGGCGAGTATGCCTCGAAGTGTGTTCATATGGTCGGTCAGTTCGGTCATTTTAGCTTGCCGCATTTTTTCGACTTTGTCCAATAAATATTTTTCACGATCTTCTATAGCTTGCGCGTAGCAACGCATAGCTTTTCTAATCTTTAAATTTGCTTCAGCGGTCTCCTTTTCGTATGCTTTGGACATCGCGACCGCACGATCGATCGCCGTTTTTATCGCTTTAGTGCCAGTTTTGGTATCCTCAATGGCCCTGAAGACTCCAATACGACACAAGTCGAGTGCGCCTTTGATCGGAGTAAAGCAGTGATCTTTATGAACCCACAGCGTGCATTCCTGACAGATGAAAATAATGCAAGCTTCGCAGTAGAATTTGACTGGCTCGCCGTGAAGTTCACAGTACATCACTTCTTTTTCATTGGTAACGGAGTTGGGGCGAGCGCCGATGGGTGATATTTGGTGTATCGGCAGGAGGGTGTGCTCCCTCAGCTGGCAATCAGAGGTTACCTTGTGGCAACACTCGTGACAGAATAGGTCATTACATTCGAGGCAGCGCGTCGTAGGCGTGCGCGCCTCGCAACGGTAACAAGTTATAGATACTGATGACGATGTACCGGGCGAGCCGCTAGAGTTGTCTTCTTTGGAATGGTTTTGATGGTTATTGTTATGGTTGTTGGTGTTGTAGTCCTGGCCGACCGGGCCGATGGGGTTCTGCAAGGAGCTGCAGGAGGGCAGCGCCCAGATATCGTAGGGCATGGTGGAAGAGGCGGAAGTTGCGGCGGGCTGCAGGCTGGCCGGCTTGTTCATGTTCTCGAGCAGGTTGCAGATGATGTGCGTCATGGCGAGCGGGTCCTCCTGGTCGGGCGCGTGGCCGGGCGCGCTGCTCGCGGCGCCGGACGACGTGGTAGGCAGGCTGGCCGCCAGCGACGCGGTCATGTTAGCAAACGACGTCATTGTTGCAACTACTTCACCTCATTAGATCTGAAATAGAGATATTATTCTTTTTAAATGAATATCATTATCTACTACACATTGAACAATTGCTTGGCAATGCAATTATATTTTTCTCGATTAGAAGATATTAACAATGTTTTCATGTAGCAGATTTCATTTATCGCAGATGATGCTCGGCGGTGCCAGTATGCATTTTAATATTGAATTCTAATAAAAAAAATGACTTCTCACTTAAGAATAATTATTATCAAAACATTAAAGCAATACTAAAACGTAAGTGAAATAAGTAATAAATTTTTGGATAGTATGAATAGATACTGTAAATTATAGCGTCAATAACCTGGTCTAAGAACTTATTAAGATTTTACTTATTGCTTTATTACTACTACAAGTATCAGTAGAGTTTTAATCTGTATTTATAAAATCTACTGTTGCCACTTGAATACTTTTACAAGAAACAACAGTCACAGAGCACCGAAGCAATACAGAGTGGACGGCAAATTCTCAATGTGTATTTTCACTGCCGAGTCAATTTTATAAGAACACATGTATCCCTATCTTCGTCGTAGAAAAACATAAATAACAAAAAACATATACACGTGTTTTCCTAGTGCAAACAGATACGGTCAACACTAAACCCCTCGCATCGTATACCTCCATTTCGCAAACTTGTCGATTCTGTGTTGTTCGGTCGATATTTTGTCTAGGACAACCTCTACCAACGCAACTCGCTCTCTTCATTCGCTCTATTAATTTACGTCGCATTAACAAATTATATTTTATTCAACCGAAAACCCCAGTTTCATACTAATACTGGGACTAATTATAATTCTAATTAAATTTAATACTTTTGGCCTTTGATTAAAACACCACAAGTTCAAAATACTGCAGACCACTAAAAATTAAGCTAAAAAGTTTTTTTTTCCTTTCTCAATGTTCCGAGAAATTAAATTTTACTTTAATTATCAACATAAACTTATCGTTTAAAAAGCTTGTTTCACACATGTTGATCTATTTCACATCCGCCTGTAAAATTTAGAAATTTCTAGATTACGGAAACATATCTACAAAGTCCACTTACATTACAGGAATGACGATGGGCGATAGTATTGTACTGCATGCTTTATCACTGATAGAAGCCGGATGCCTATTCCAACCGGCGCTCACTAAACAATAACTTTTACACTCATATTAAACTAAAATTACGTGCGGACCTTACCGCCCCACAAACTGTACTATTGCACCCAAACCCACTCATATGGTGCACTTTGCGAAAAAAATCCATGCCCAAAAATGCCTGCTCTACCCCTCAAAATAATAGGTAGCTATCTAGGAGTGGGATGGAACGATAGTACAGTGCCATGTGCGAGGGAGACAAACGATGATGTCGCATTCCAAAATTTTCCATAATTTAGATAAAGGAGGTTCGCTATGATTAGGGCTGTGAGTTCCTAGAATTGCATTGTTGCAAGTCATAATAGTACAGTAACTTCACAAACTTTTACAATATTTATTTTCAGAATTTGATATACATTTATGTATATCAAATTCTGAAAATCTATAAAAAATACATTGATATGCTAAAAAATCAAATTAGCAATGTACTACGTTGAAGCATATTATAGGATTTTGACTCATTATTTAATTGAAATAATGATTATATTCAAAATAAATAATAGGCAATTTCTGAGATTATTAAAAAAAATAACGAAATTATCGATTTGCTACAACCCTAACGGCGTAAATAAGATCAGTATTGAACAGTACAACAAGAGATCCATGCGCAAGCGAGAGGCAAGATGTTGGCGTCGCGTTTCGTGGTGAGCTGAGTGAGTGAGATTGCTTCGGGAGTGACGCGGTGCCTGACCTTGGCGCGGAGTGCGCGTGAGGCAGGTCCGGACCACACGCCGCCATCTTGCCGCGCCCCCGCGCATAAACTTAGGGTGCCCAAAAATCGATGCCTTTCCCTCGCTACCCTACAACCCTACGAAGGGCGCAGGGATTAACATCGATCCTGCTAAAGCTCAACGAGAAACTCCTCTAAACTACGCATTTAACAAAAGAGAAAGGTTCAATTTGTAAAAACATTGTGTTTGGTTAACGCTCTAATCCCTTCTTGCGGATAAAACCACAAAAAATTAAACATCAGTTTTGATTTTTCAAAATCTTAATTAGTATTTTTCACTAAGCAACAAAATAAATAAACAAAGAATCATCCGAATATCTTCAAACGGATGTGCTAATCCAGTTTCTTATTGCTTGTTAGGGTTGTCGATTAACTAGATCTTGGACAAACCTTCTTTAATTTACTACTTTGTACCTGTTCCTTGTTACAAAATCCAGCAACGCTTGAATTGAGTCCGTGCACTTACGCAGGTAGATACACCGGTCCATTGAAAGAAAAAATTCTAAGCTCTTTTTCTTAGAATAGGAACGGTTTGGTAACAATGGATTTTGCGCAGGTCGGTATAGTATCGACATGGCCCGCACCCCACTGGTAACATCGAAATCTGACTACAAGCTACGAATTTTGTATCAATAGAAATTAACGAACAAATAATATAGCTATAAGGGCAGCAAGGTTAATCGTACCGTTTAATAAAACGTGAGCGAAATTTATATAAGTTTGAGAGTCACGTGTGCTATTGCGTAGCAGTAATTAATGGATACTGAAAATTATTCGTTCGTTTAAGAATAATAGAAAACATTAAAAATGTATTATAAAAAACACTATCGAATCTTTTTACATAGCTCGCTCTACATATCTAAAAAATCACATTCACAGTCGACAATCCATTTTCAACCCGTGGTCAAAGCTTACGCGGTTTAACACAAAATAATTCGAAAGCAACGTTAAATTAGGTTAAAAGACTTTAAAACGCAGTATCCAATTTTAACATATATAGCAAACAAAGAAAAGTTCGCAGACCGCAACTAACAAAGAACCGACGCGAAATTATAATTACACTTTACACACAAAACTTTCCTCGGATAATAAAGCTGCGTACACACTGGGGGTTATTTATAAAGAGTTTAAAGTGACAATGATGACATGTGGTCACTTGTGTACAGTACACGTTTAGTTAAACAAGATGAAGGAACCTGAAAAGGTTTCTACTCTATGTTGATTTTTATTCTACTGGATTTATCGGGATGATGTTAGCCATATTTGCATTGAGAATATCTGACTTGTGAAGATGTTCAAACGATACTGCTACGAAGTTACCTACAAAGTAAACAATGACCACAAAACTCTGCTTTTACTTTCAAATTTGCGGAAAACAAGGACGAATAACAAAACAAAAGATGTAAACATATTGTGTTTACCTTATGGACAAGGGACAAGAGCTGAGAAACTGAAAAAAAATACTGAAGAAAATCAAAAACATAACGGATATTTCTATAGTAAACTTTGTTATTGCTAATAAATATTACCTTTAATTCGTATAAGGTTACTATGTACTTGAATAGCATTGTTTGCGACTAGTTTCCCTGACTTTTCGATTGTAAAATAAAACATGCAAGCAGGAGCTTTTGTTTGAAGACAATAGCTAGAAAAGATGACAATAATCCTGCTCAAAAACAATGAATGAATACTGCTATTAAAAAAAAAACGTCCTGCGTTCCGCGAACTTCATTCAAAACTAAGAAGTCAATGACAGTAATACGACATGATAACTACGACCAGAAAGTACATTTCATTGAATTATTACTGTTTCCATTGTCGAAATATATATTACCATCCTTCTTATACTCATTAAAAAGAACAGAGAGGACATTAACGTTCAATATAAATTTTACAGTAGAATTTCAGTTACATAGAATGAGTAGTTCGTAAAGTTATGTGTATAATCATTAGGAATAAAAAAAATATGTTTATTCAATAAATAATTTTTATAGCAACTATACTTGTAATTTTTAAATAACTTTTCTCAGCCGTAAATACAAAATGTAACATTTACATATTGTTGCTTATTTGCGTTATCAAACTACGTCACTATTCAATGATCTTTAACTATATCATGTACCCACGCTAAATCCACACATAAGTTACTTTCCTATTTCATTATGTACTCCCCTCCGACCACCTTAAGTACGAGTACCTTATAATATTTAGCATAGCTGCTTAGTTTGTTTTCTTTTAGTCTTAATCGTACGAAATAATCGAAAGTACAAAGCAATGATAATGCTAAAATCACGTGTAAAAAGAATCGACTTATAACAATGAAAATATGAAAGCACAAAAATAATTGAGTACATTTTACGTGAGCTCGAATTAATACAAACAATTACGACAGTGTTCGAGGGGAGCGAGCAGTAGGTACCGCGCATGCGCGCTATTGTCGATACCCGGTGTACTCTGGGGTACAGGCCTAGGATTTTCTATTGCTCGACATTTTACGTAATCTAAATGCTTCGAGAATGAAACGTAAAATCAATACCGAGTTAAGAAGGGACATTATGGTTTGCTACAAAAAGTATAAATTAATCTTTTTAGTATTTCAGAACTTAACAAAAATTAAAAAAAAAATTACTTATCCCAATGAGTTACATATCTTTTATTTAGGAATCTTAAAAAATCCAGACACAAAAAATATAATTAGGATATACCAGTAACCGTGTCATTGACATCGATAAATGCGATTTTGTATAAAAAACGAAACATTAGAGCTGCCTGCAAATTAGTATACAGGTTTAAAACCACGTCTAGAGCGTCGTTTTTGTTGAGCGAGCGTTGAGCCAGGGCCGGTGCAGAGCGCACTGTGTCACTGAACCGTAAGGACGTCCTTCGTTTTATCTTGTTTTGTGCACGACCACTTCAAAGTGAACACTCTCATTCAAAACACGGTGCACCGTGATTTTATAACACTTTTAATAAACTTAACTTTGATGATTTTTTTTTAGTAAAACACCGCAAAAGATTAACATTTGATGAAATCATTACCGCCTTCTCTTATAAAAATAAAAGAAATATGAGGAGTTGGGTCAAAGCTTTTTTTATTTTATAAGGTGGCAAACGAGCAAGCGTCCACCTGAATCAGTCAAAATGGCGAAGCGACCGCTACCCATAGAAATTCGCAATAGCGAATGCGTTGTCCACCCTTAATCAACGGAGGATGAGACGAACATAAAGAGGATATTTCTTCTTCCTATGTATCTCCTCCACCGTCAAATCCACGTTCCCTTTCCATCCTATTCTCGTGAGGAAAAGCTGGGTAGGAGAAGGGATATTGCGCCAGGCGAGCCGACCCATTTGTGCGAAGATGTTAAAGCTGGCTCTAACACTGTTAAAGTGTTCCGCTGTAAGCTTTATAGCTGGCAAATATTATGCATGGGGGGACTTTGGAAGAGAATAGATAGGAAATGTCTCTTCTAGTATTTAATTTATAGTGACTAGCTGTTGATTGCAACTCTGTCTGTGATTAACTAAAAAAAAAATGAGTAGCCTATGAGTTCTTCCAGACAATCCTCTACATCTTTGCCAAATGTGATAGAGATATGTTCAGCCGTTTAGGCTACAAACTCTAACAAACATCCATCTTAACTTTTGTATTTATAATATTAGTATGACGTATGATAAAATCATCTGCAGTATACAGAGATTTAAACGAAGTTCCAATACTTATAACAGACTTAGTGTAGGTCAAATGAGTGTCTCATTGATCAAAAGAACACATTACAATGAAGTATAGGTTATCTTGATTCCTTAAACTGTATAGAAATTAATTATGTATGGACAACTCCATTCAAATGTCTATTTAATTCAGAGAATTACATTATACTAACATATTTGGCATGTTCCATATTTATATTTGGAATGTTCCATAATAAAATAAAATTAGGGATTTCATTATAAAAAAGTCTTTAGGCAATTTTGAAATGGTATCAAACTTTTAAAAGACTTATAAAAAAGAACATCAGAATAACAATTACTCATGTATGAGTCAGATGTAAGCACTAATTACATGTCAAATTTGGGTCTTGCAGACATTGGCACGGTTTTAGGTCATTGAACGAAAAAGACACTCTTTTTTTTAAATAAGATCTTCATTTTCAAATTCAATATCATACTAATAGTATAAATGTGAAAGTTTAGATGGATGGAGGTTAAGTTTGTAACCTAACAACCTTACAAATAAACACAATAATAAGTTAAACTTAGGAATAAACTGAGTATGGGCAAATATTAGTACAAATTTTGCTTATACTCAGTTTATTCCTAAGTTTAACTTTATACCACATTATTTATAAGACTGTAAATGGCTCAAAGGATTATAATGGAATTTAGCATAGATGTAGAACATGGTCTGAAAGGATAAATAGACTACAAATTACATTTTTTTATTCTTTGTAGACAGAATCACAGGTGAAAGTTAAAAACAATATTATTTTAATACTAGTGAGCACATATTGAACAATCTTAACTGCATTGAAGTAGTATCCAAAAGCAAAACCTCTGCCACAAAAATTTCACCATCAGTTTTACAAAAAGTAAAGAAGACAACTTGCAAGATATAACTTTTATTCCTATTTAAAGGTAAAGTGTTGCTTTAAAATATACTGTTACACAGATTATAACATTCACAATTAACAAAGTACAGTTAGAATCTAACTGTACATTAAATTTGTAAAAAAAATAACTGTTTAGTTGGAAACAAAGATTGTAACTTAATGAAATGATGTTTATTTACTCTTCATAGAGGTCTATAGAAGACATGTAGGATAGTGTATTTTTTTGTATATATGTCCTCATATAGCATAGCTAGAGTTATCTATATCTCTTGAAATATACAGCATTTTCTAACTAAAATAATGTATAATGTGAAAATAGACAAAATCTTCTTCTTACTTACAATTTTTTTATCTTAATAATATGTAACAAGTATGCATAGATAGATTTTGTGTAATTAAACAGTTATTAGGAACAGAAATACATTAAACTTGTATCAAATAAATTAATTTGTTAAAATGTGTAAAAAGATATAAGCAAATCTAGTTAAAAAATCATAATTTTAACATCAGGTATTTGGAGAAAGTGGGAAAAATTGGGATAATTCTTTTATTAAATTTTATAATAATTTAAAGTTACGCAAAAATACTGTAGAATATATTTCGATGAGTCAGGAGTGGATTGTATTTTTATACAACAGAAAAATACAAATCATGACAGCAAACACAAAGGCATGAAACGTCGAGAGAAAGTAAATGCTTAAAATGGTATCCGGTGTAGTTTCTGTATTCGAAACATAATGGATGTACGCGAGATAGTGAAATTTGTGATAACTAATAATACCAGAAAATCGCTTACCTAGTATACCAATGTCTTCGTAAAATTTACTGCAAACTACAAGTAGACAAATTACGCATAATAACGTATTTGCTACTCATCAGTCCGTACAAAATTATAAATCATAAACGTCCGTCACTATAATTATTCACAAAATATGCCCGACGATGCAGGTAGATTGCACAAAGTTAGAGTTTAAATAATGATTAATTCTAAAGTTCAATGTTGACTACTACACATATATTGCACTAATTCTAATTACTGAAGATTACCGCGACTCATAGGTTATTAGTTCGCATTAATTGTATATTTATTTATTAACATCATAAAACACCACGAAAACAACAGCGGTGAATGAACGATCAATTGATTTAAAAATAAACACCCGTTGTCTATGGAAATTTTGTCAACAAAATAGATTAAAAAACAAAGTAGAAGCATAAAAAAAACTTAAACGGTTTAAAAATAATTATTAAATAATTCAATGAAATATGATGACACGTTCACTGATAAATGATAGAATTTTTGTTTCAAAAAAATTATTAGTTCCCAAAATAAAACATATCTTAAATATACTGCACTGCACAGTGAATTTTTAATCATATATTTCGTTCTTGCTTTAAAGACTTTGTTTTATGTTAATAGGGCACATTATCCTACATCTATCTCTGCATGTAGTTTAAAGTAGATTTCTCTTTTCAAAAATTATTAAGATAGTCGCAAAATTGATTTTATAACTCTGTATTTTTTGAAAAAGTATAACATATTGTCTTTGCAAAACGACACTATGTGTCAAAACTCGCGCCAAAAGTAAACAGTGTTGCGAGATTGTTTTATATTTTTAATGCTGTTTATTAAGTTCTAAAACATTCAAAAATGTCTACACCATCAAAACGTCCATCATCTCGTGCATCTTCAGAAGCGGCCACACCATCACGGAGAACCAGATCTTCACAACAAGTAGTAGTTCCAGAAACTCCACAGCAGTCAAGCGGCACCCCATCAAACGGTATAAACAGATTTTCCAATTCAATCTATGTTTTGCCAACAACGAGGTTCAAATCATTAAGCAAACACTTGCAAATGTATATTGGTTTTATGTTATAAGAAAATGAAAACTGATTGGTTATAATAATAAATAAGGAATTTATTACAGATGGAACTCCCAGTGGTTTTCGTGAGAATCCCAATGCAACTCCACGCACTCCTAGAGGTCAAGTACTGGCTTCATCGCCGGCTCCACACCTGGGCTCTAGCCCTCTTGGTAATTATATTTTTTATGAACTAAATTGGTAAAAAAAAATGTTTACCCAAAGTAGCCACCACCAGCCATTGCAGATGTAATATGATTGTCTTAAAATAGTAACTGGCTTGTGTTTTAGATGTAAAAAAGTAATATTTTACTACAGATAATAATTGCAATATTTTGCATTTTTAACACTGCATTTGTCACACTTGTACGAAGTTTGCTTGCAGACTGTTGCAACATTACAGAAATACCTAAAATGTTATATGCAACCTACATCAAAATTGCAGATTAACATTTTCCAAACTGATATTAATTTTTTATTTAATTTTAACAATGCTTACTGGGCATAAACATGTAGGTCATTACATTAAAAGCAAATTTAAAAATCATTTTATCAACAGGGACAGACATAGACATGAGCTCTCCATTGAACTATGGCACACCAAGTTCTCTCAGTACACCGCGATCTACACTCCGCAGTGTTGGCACTCCCGCAAGACAGAGAGCGGACTTACGAGGGCATCAATTTGGAAGAAATGTACCAGCTCCAACGCCAACTAAAAGAGTAAGATGGTATTTTAGACTAAGTTAGTGTTAACTTTATTACTAGCAGTAACTTAGTACACTACACTCATAACTCAATTGTTTATCAATATCTAAAAAAAAATAATATTTTCAAGAATAGAATTGATAACAAGTAAAAATTTTTTTTTATAAAAGTAATACATTTTTTAACATCCTGAGATTTTAAAGTTTTCTCTTAGTCTATATTAGTAAATTATAGAATAACTAAGATCCATTTATGCAGAATTAAATTAACAGTCTTAGATGAAAACTGTTTTTTTTTTTTAGTTTTACTATACTTAAATGTTAGGTGTAAAATATAGTACTAATTTTTGGTTGATGTGTCGGTTCTAACTTGACTTGCTTATTTCAGCCTGGTGAGTCTGGTGAGGTAGACTCCGGGGAGCCGCAGCTAGTGGTGTGGGGCACAGATGTGGCCATTGCTGAGTGCAGAGACAAGTTTATAAAGTTTGTGCAGCGCTTTGTGGAACCTGATGCAGTTACAAATGAACCACTATATGAAACTAAATTGGAAGAGGTAAGTATTTATTATATGACTTTCATAGATTTAAAGCAGGGGTAGTGAACCTTTACATATTAACACACTACTTTTTAAAATAACTATTTTTTTTTAGTTTTTTTTTTAGTTGTGATGTGCCATTCTGTAATATTACTTGGTTCGCGTCCGTTTCTCGCAATATTTGTGATTCACACTTTTCCTAGTGCTAATTAGATTTTGTGATCAGTGATGTGCTCAAAATATTGTGTCTTGTGCCAATTGTTTGCCACCCACAGCTTAATGTATTGGTTATTTCAATATTTTTGGCGTCTCCTCTGCCTATACATCCCGCTATAACTAAAAATGTATTTTTAGTAATATGTTCTAAACTGTTAAATGCAAATATTTGTAAATACAAACAGATTCTTGAGTTTACAGATGTAAACTCTAAAACTACTGATTTTGTTATTACCATGTTTTAGTTATTACTATTTTTTTTTTTGTGGATATCACAATGTGATGTATTTATATAATTTTCAGATACACACATTGGAGGAGCCATTCTTGGACGTAGATTGTGAACATGTCAAAACATTTGACGCTAAACTCCACCGCCAACTTGTCTGCTATCCTCAAGAGGTAAATATATAAAAAAAAACATACACACAAATTGGAAACCTCCTTCTTTTGGGATGTCGGTCAACAAAATTGAAGTGTTTACTATGATTTGGGCATAATCTCTGTATTTCTTTACAGGTTGTACCAGCTTTTGATGCTGCGGTTAACCAATTGTTCTTTGAAAAGTATCCTGCAGCTATCCTGGAACATCAGATACAAGTCAGGCCTTACAATGCTCCTCAGAGACATATGAGAGATCTCAATCCTGAAGGTTTGTTCAATTTTCTATGTTTAATGATAAATTCAGTGCAAAAAATACTACCTGTAGTTACTTTTTTGTTTTAATTTTTTTACATAAATTTGGATTTATAAGTGTCAGTGTTTTGTTATGTGTTTTGTATGTGTCGGTTAAGCCGGTTTGGAATTAAAACAAAATAAGAATTCTATGACTTCTTTTAGACTATCCTCTATATCTATGTCAAATTCCATAGAGCTACTTTCAGCAGTTTAGGCTACGAACATCCATCCACTTAAACTTTCGCAATGTTAGTAAGATTTTCCACTCTTGGAGGGAAGCACATGTGCAGTGTGCAGATAACCATTGATCATAAGGGGGGGTTTCCAGTAGTAACAAAACTATTGAACCCCCTTGGGTTTCCAATAGTAACAATCATCCTTTACAGACATCGACCAGCTGGTGACAATCAGTGGTATGGTGATCCGCACATCCGGGATAGTGCCGGAGATGCGCGAGGCGTACTTCAGATGCGCGGTGTGCGGCGCGGGCGCGGCGGGCGAGCTGGAGCGCGGCCGCGTGGCGGAGCCGGCGCACTGCGCGCACTGCAGCACCGCGCACGCCTTCCAGCTCATACACAACCGCTCGCACTTCAGTGATAAACAGCTCGTTAAGCTGCAGGAAGCGCCAGGTAAACAAATATAACCTATTCGGTTGTATGTAAAGAATTTTGATTTGAAAACTTAACTAAGATACATTGACATCCGTACATTGATATTTCAATCCGGCTTGAAGGACCAAAATGACCAATCTTAGACCTCTACAGTTTTATGGCGTGTATTTTAGAGATACCAGAACCTTTGACTATGTCACTTGAGAATGGCCACCGACCAATCCAGTCAACTTTGCAATGCTAATTTTAAATATTTTTTTTTTCATTTCATTAGTTACGTTTCCATTATTTTGTGTTTAAATACTTTTTTGATTCATAATTGTAGTGTTGACAAAAATTTAAATAAACATTATTTTATTTTATAACATAAGGTGACAACGAGCAAGCGGCCACTAGAATCCGCCAAAATGGCGAAGCGAGCGCTGCCCATAGACATCCGCTATTGCAGATGCGTTGCCTACCCTTTACGACGGAGGAGGAGACGCACATAAAGATAATATTTCCCCTTCCTATGCATCTCCTCCACCGTCAAATCCAACTCCTTTCCAACCTTATAAGAAAAGGGTGGTAAAGAGAAACTTAAATTATATTAATATCTTTGCAGACGACATGCCGGCTGGGCGCACGCCGGCGACAGTAGCGGTGATGTCGCACGGCGCGCTGGTGGAGGCGGTGGGCGCGGGCGAGCGCGTGCGCGTCACCGGCGTGGTGCGCGCCGCGCCCGCCGCCGCGCACCCGCGCCGCGCCACGCTGCGCGCGCTGCACCGCACACACATCGACGCGCTGCACTACTCGCCCATATCCAGCGATAGGATGCTGCACACCGACGACACGTAATGCACACTTAGTACATTGCATTCTGCCTAACAGAATAGTCACGATATGGCACAGCATAACATAAAATCTCCTATATATAGCATATACATATACAACATACACGTATTACTTAAGTGACACACTAGCAGCTTCATTAAAAAAAAATAACTACAAATATGTGATTTTAGCCTCTACCATGCAATGCTGAAAGGATGTCTGCGTACGATCCTATGTATAAACCTCAATATTATGGTACTGCATAAATTGTTTTGAAACCAGAATAAATTGCGTAGCGTATGTGAAGGGGTTTATATAATTTTTTTAATAGAAGTAGACACCAGTAACATCTGTTTCATGATAGAGCTAGCTCGCCTCAATACCACGACCATACAAGACGTGCCAAGTTCAAACAATCCGCGATTCTGATGAAATTAAATAACAATGGCCTTATTTTAACGGAAGAAAGGACGCATATGTTAGTGAAAATTCGTTTATTTATACATCGCTTCGCTATTTACTAATAACTTTACTCGTATATGTACTAAAAAAAATAACAGTGTAAATAATTCCCCGCAGTGATGAGCACCGTTTCCCCCCGGAGCGGGTGGAGCTGCTGCAGGCGCTGTCGCGGCAGGCGGACTGCTACGAGCGGCTGGCGCGCGCCATCGCACCCTCCATCTACGAGAACCTCGACATCAAGAAGGGAGTGCTGCTGCAGCTGCTCGGCGGCACCAAGAAGAACTTCAACGCAGCCGGACGTACGCACTTCAGGTGATAATAAAACCAGGATTTTGAGTTTTTAATATATATATAAGGAAATAAATATATGTAGCGCCATTTTACTTCTTACTTCACACTTCTTACTTATGTTATAAATGCGAAAATTTAGATGGATGGATGTTAGCGTTTGTAGCCTAAACGGCTGAACGGATCTTCATGAAATTTGGCATAGGTTTAGACCATAGTCTGGATGAACACATAGGCTACTTTATATCCCGGGAATAATTACGGCTCCCTTGGGATTCATTGGTTTAGTTTTTTAATGTTTACTTGATCATTCTGCAACAGTTCAACATATCTTATTGGAATTTGGCACAGATATAAAACAAAGTCTGAAGTAGACATGGGATAAGGTTCATCTCCGAGAAATGTCTGGTTCTCGAGGGATATGTAGCTTTTTGTTATTTATATAGTTCGTATGTTTTCTAATACCACGCGTACGAAGTCGCGGGCAACAGCTAGTATGTTATAAAAGCGGAAATGGATGGATGAATTTGTTACCACTAATTACTAAAATTTAGTAAAAATGTAGAACATAGTCTTTAAGAACACATAAGCTAAAAAGTATTTAATTTCTCACAAACAAAATTGCAGACAAAAGTTAATCTACTATACAAGAAAGCTGTCTTTTATTATAAAACTAGTATTCACCCGCGACTCCGTGCGCGTGGAATCAAAGAAAAACAAAAATAAGTAGCCTATATGTCCATCCAGAGTATGCTTTACATCTATGCCTAATCGAGATCCGTTCAGCAGTTTAGGCTACAAACAAACATCGAACTAAAATAGCATTTATAATATGAAACATTTCGAATTAGGTCAGAGATAAACATCCTGCTGTGCGGCGACCCCGGCACCAGCAAGTCGCAGCTGCTGCGCTGGGTGCACGGGCTGGTGCCGCGCGCGCAGTACACCTCGGGCAGGGGCTCCTCCGCCGTCGGCCTCACTGCCTACGTCTCCAAGGACCCGGACACGCGCCAGCTGGTGCTGCAGACGTAAGACATCTCCCTACCTTGTCCTACTCCCGTAGGGTAGGTACACTTTGGTCCTCCAAATAACTATCAACTCGCCCCGTGTAACACAACACAGAAGACTGGCGTCAAGTGGGAGCAATTCTGCCCAAATTTAGTCCCTTTTCCTTCCCACCCTTTTTCTCATAGTAGGATGTTGGTGAAGACGCATAGAAATTGGAAATATCCACTTTGTGTGAGTCTCCTCCGTCGATAAAGGGGAGGCAAAGCATCCGCTTTTACGAACCACTGGGGCTACTCTCAAACTTCCTCTAATATACTCATTTCGTATCTTATCTATTGTTATTAATAAGAATAATAAAATAAAAAAAAAACTCAAACCATTAACCTGAAGAGTAGGCAGAGATAGTGGTCTTCCTTTCAACTAACATGGCTTCATTCTCTAGCATTTTCTATGTTATCAATCTATCGTTAGTAAATTGCAATGTTATAAAAGTAAATACAAATTAATTTACTGGGAGAAATATATTAATTCCAGTTTTATAAATGATTTTTTAAATTTTAACAGCGGAGCGCTGGTGTTAGCAGACAATGGTATTTGCTGTATCGACGAGTTTGACAAAATGAACGACTCCACGCGCAGTGTACTACACGAGGTTAGTGTTAATAATATTAAAGATCTAAATAAAATACATCAAATGTGGGAAAATAAAATAAAACTACCTTATTTTTTTTACACATTCTTAATCTCGTCTTGAGAACAATTTAATTTTGCAAAAGCTGTTTATTGGTTTAGGTTAGGAAATGTACAATCGTGGAAATTCGCGGTGTTCCACTTGTTTTACTAAAATATGCCTTTTTATTGCAGCAAGACAAACACAACAATAATTAGGTAGAAGTAAATATCGCAAATGGACAATAAAAAGCAATAGGCAGTGTACCTCGACTTTTTAATACAGACAAATTTAAAATCTGTGTCGTATTTCGCGTCATCGCTAGATTCCACAACTGTACTTATTTTAACCGTCCGTTTTAATGCAATTTAAATAATTTAGGTAATGGAGCAGCAGACGCTGTCGATAGCCAAAGCGGGTATCATCTGCCAGTTGAATGCGCGCACCTCCATACTGGCGGCCGCTAATCCAGCAGAATCTCAGTGGAATAAGAACAAAACTATCGTAGAAAATGTACAACTACCGCATACACTTATGTCCAGGTAAATAAACTTACCTTATTAAGTTGTTTCAAACATTATTTTCAAATGATTTTTCTTGCATGCTTAAAAAGACTGTCTGGTTACTTAAGGTAATAAAATTTTAACATTTCTAGTGTCCAAGAAAAATCTTACTTAAAATTGTAAATGCGAAAGTTTAGATGGATGGATGTTTGTTAGAGTTTATAGCCTAAACTACTAAATGGGTCTAGATGAAATTTGATATGTCAACGTATTTGACGTAGAAGATAGTCTGTACGAACACTTAGGCTACCCCCTTTTTTTTTATTCCACACGGACGAAGTCGGGGGCGATAGCTAGTCCAATATAATTCGAAAAATGTGTTGCGTTTGCATTTCCATTTGTCGATTTAAAGTGGCTTTTTGTATTTTTATCCTATTTTGTATTGAAATACGTAATGTGTAGGTTCGACCTGATCTTCTTGGTGCTGGACCCTCAGGATGAGGCGTTCGACCGCCGGCTGGCCGCGCATCTCGTCTCACTCTACTACAAGGACCCTGCGGATACACAACAGGATGAAGATAACATTGTTAGTTACAGTATATCTTACTGATATATACGCGAAATTGGATGGATGGATGTTTGTTACTACGTATCTTCAAAACGGCTTAACGGATTTCTGCTAAATTTTTACACGTAGAATATCGTCTGGAACATTTAGGTAATAAAGTTTTATTCATTTAAAATTTTTATGGATTCACGTGCTAGTAAATCATTTTATCTTCGAATCATTTTGTGGCTACAAGTGAAAATAAAATACACATCTAAGTGTATCAGGGAATTTGACGGTGTATCAAAGACAGTTGTTTCAACGTATTGTACACAGATGACGGAATAACCAATAACGTCGCTTTTAATTTGTTCTAGCTTTCGCCCGCGACTTCGTCCGCGTAGAATTAAAAAAAAACAAACGCGAGTAGCTTATGAGTTTTTCCAGACTATCCTCTACATCTATACCAAAATTCATCGACATCTGTTCAGCCGTTTAGGCTACAAACTCTAAAAAACATCCATCCATTTAAACTTTCACATTTATAATATTAGTATGAATTTTGTGATCTTGAATTTTTTCCTCGTCATCTACACATTTATTATAAACAGCAATACTTATAACGTTGCTTTACTAAGTTATCCGCATTTAAAATTCCTTATACATATGAAATATTGTATTTTTTGCAGAATACGGGCGTAATGCGTGACTACATAGCGTATGCAAAGGAGTACGTGCAGCCCGCGCTCAGCGAGACCGCGCAGCAGCGGCTCATTGACGCATACGTCGATATGAGGTATATAAATAAAGAAATCTATATAACATCATATGTAACTGCGTATAACGTCACGACGTTATAAAGAATTTTAGCTAATCAAAAATTCAAACTGTCGTGGTTTTTACAAATATAATGTTGCTAAGATAAAAGTTGCTTACCATAATTGGTCTCCCAATGTTTCGGCTTACTGTACTTAATTTTATTTTAGCGTCGACTACTCGACTAATAAGTCCAAATTCAGTGAAATACAAAACGGCAGATACTCGCAGATGAACAAAAGATTTACGCCCAATTCACATTATTCCAGTCCAGCGATACCAGCGCTGGATTCCAGAAAATAGGGATAACCATGCTAGAATATCTGGTTTTACATTTTTGACCGACTTCAATAAGGAGGTTCTCAATTATTCCAGTTTATATTCCGCACTGGATACAATTTCTGGGTTGGAGTAATGTAAACTGGGTTTTACTTATAATACAAATAAAATTCATTGAAATACTGTGTAAATTTACTTTAAGACGGTAATATCATTGGTTAAAGATTTTATATTTGTGTTAACAGACGTGTGGGCAGCGGGCGCGGTCAGATCTCTGCCTACCCCCGCCAGCTGGAGTCGCTCATTCGGCTGGCGGAGGCGCACGCGCGCGTCAGACTCTCCCCAGTTGTTGAAATTATTGACGTCGATGAAGCAGCTAGGTCAGTTATCTATAATAATATTATAAAGAGAAAAAAAAGTATATTTTTGTATGTAGTGAAATGACTCAAAAAATACTAGGCCGATTTCAAAAATTCTTTCACCATTAAAAAGCTACGTTATCAAAATAAAACCATTAGGCTATTGGCGCTTGAATTATGTCTTAACTAAGTTCTTCGTAATCCAGACTTCATCGCGAAGCTCTTAAGCAGTCAGCAACAGACCCGGCATCAGGTCGCATCGACGTCGGCATACTGACAACTGGTCTAGGCGCTGCCGCGCGCCGCCGCCGAGCTGAGCTGGTCACCGCACTCAGGGAACTCATCAAGCCGTACTCCAAACCTCACACAATCACACACACCAAGCTGCTGCAGGACGTCAATGCTGCCTCACAACTGGTCAGTTATACTCCGTAAGGTACAGTCGGTGAATTTGTCGGTGGTGATAGTTTCTTCAATGATTGGGACGGGACGCGAAATAATAAACAATATGACGCTTTTGAATATGTTTGTATGTTGCTATGGTTAATTACATCATATCCTGTTTGGGCAACTCACTACTAATAAGTTGTTAGCAAGAAGCGGATTTTGCATCGTTGCAAAAAAATTAGGCAATTTTACTTAAAAAAAATGCGAAAGTTTAGTTGGATAGTCTGGAAGATCACATAAGCTAATTGCTTTTGATTTAAACTCCACGCGGTCGAAGGAAGTCACGGGCGCAAGCTAGTTATTTTGTAAGTGGAATACCGCCGATTTCCCCGACTGTACCTTAAGATTTAATAGCCAATAGTAACTTTATGTGTTTCTATAAAATAAAATTACTGTTCTCCGAGATTCATTTTTATAGTATTCTAATAAAACATTGTATTAAAGATGGTGTCTCGAGAACAACTGGACGAAGCCCTCCGTGATCTACAGGACGAAGGCAAGGTGACTGTTGTCAGTCACACGCACATACGTCTCTGCTGACCCCACAAGGCGTGATTGAATAAACTTTGTTGATTGCATCACATGAGCAGGTCTATGTGATTTTTGCTCTATATGAGAGTATTATAAAAACACCCGCATTTGTAAGAAATTAAGACAATTTTCGAGCCAATGGAAACAAAATGTAATAGAAATAACTTTGGATCCAAATGTTGTATTTTTAGATAATTATAAATAAGGTTCTAAGAAAAGAACTTATTCATGTGCCTTTGTGTTAAATAGCTGTTAAGGATTCTTTGTTACGTTCAAAAGTTAAATATCACGAATAAAATGTTTGTTTTTTTATTTTTACCATTCCTTTTCCCTATAACTAAAGAACTCTTCATGTCTATTCTTCTATACTATTAAAATAAAGCGTAAACACATACTTCTATGTTGCCTAAGATGTCAGCAATTACAGCATATTTTTGAATAATTCTTTTATAAAAAGCCCTAGACTTACGTCACGCTTTAGGCTATATATTTTTGCGCCATTATACTTGGGGGGGGGGGGTAAATATTTTAGATAAAACCCTAATGTGGGAAGGAGACCATAAGTTGCTGCCAACATCAAGAAGCAAGATTGCCAAGGTTTGTCATCATGTCATTTTGACATTTGCTATTGGTAACTTGACAAATGTAAACAATTAAATTTTTTTTTAATAATTTATATATTTTGCGGATGAAACCGCACAGGAACAGCTAGTAAAAAAACAAAACTTTAATAAATAATTTTTATTTACATTAAACTTGTATATAAAAAAGCCTGAAGCCCAACATTATTCCTATGTATATCGCAGAACGCATTCAGTTGACAAATAAAACCCTTAAAGCGTTCAAAAAACAAGTTTAAACTCTCGTGTTTTACAAACTTATGAATATATAAAATTATGTACTATTTAGTGTTAATACTGTACATGTTAAATACAGTAAAACTACACCCGTAAATATTTGATAGGAAGACTGAAAAATAAAAAAAAAACCATTTGGTTGTTTACTTATTTCAAATTGTGCAAATAAGTAGTTTTACAAAACTATGAAACATCCAGTTTCTTGTACAAGAACATCAATATTAAAAGGGAATGAAGAGATATTTTTGTAGTCAGATTAATTCGTTATCAAAATTTTAAGCCACAAATGCTTTATGCTTAGTAAAACAATTATTTTACGCACATACGGCTGTATATTGAAACGAATCAAATATTTATTCCTAATTGCCGTTTACAATTTTATACTACATATTTAAATATCGTTTCAACATTCAGCCGTTGCCAAATAAAAAATTCACAGCCCTTAACTGCATACTATACTTTTGTAAACATGTTGCGAGTGTCATCAAAAAACTCGACACCAGCATTAATATTGCTATCTTTGAGAAGACAGACAACAAATAATGCTTTGAGAACTGCAATAACAAATATCCTATAATATATTTAACATCAAGAGATATTGTGGTCTGTGGACTGGTTTGTCTGGTCGGTCCGGTCCGGACCGGGGGATTCTGGTCCGGTCTCTCGCGGGTCGTACTTGTCAGCACGTGCGCACGCCTCCAACACATACTTGTTGAATAATTCCGGTTTATCTACATACACGTGGTGACCGGCGCCGTTTATTACCTGGAAATGTTTTAGATTATTTCAAATATTCACATATCACAAAAATTATTGATGAAAAAAATCATATAAACCTCACATTTAGGGCCTGTCCCACCGGTGGTAGATAGAGGCCCTGATAGTGTAAATATGACGTCACGTCAGATAAAATACAAAATTTCTGTCCCACCAATTTTAAATAGCAGATAACGCTGTGACGTTTCAAATGTCAATGTCATTTTTTTACAAGCCCCATACAAAACTTTTTGATTCTGTCCCACGGGTGGCTGATAAAGAGTTCTGGATAATGTCGAAATGACATGAATGTCACAATGACGTCAGATATGGTGCAAAATCCAGTCCCACAAGTTTCGGATAGGTAAAATAGCAAATTTACGAGCTCCTAATTTGACTGCCAGATCGAGTGACCATTATCTTTTTATCAACTGGATGAGAAAACTTTCTTTGGTCTTATTTTGAGTTAATATCAATGTTTTGACTGAAAATAGATCTTGTTGAGTTTTGAGAAGATGAATTTACGATTGTCTTGTAATATAACATGAATATACCGTCCCCACAATCACTCAGTAGTGAGAAATTGAGACGATAATCTAGCATGGCAATGGGCCAAGTTTCGAGTGACAAACTCTGTACTTTTTGTGTTTTTGAGTTTACTCATGACAGTGAAGTTTGCATCTTACGAAGAAGTCTTACATGGAACCGTATGGTTACATTATAACAGTAATCCGTTGTCAAAATGACGCAACGCAATTCATTCAACATAATATTTTGTTGTTAAAATATTTTTTTCTTATTGTATTTGTTAATTTTTACTATTAGCTGTGTTATTATCCTTTGTTAATATAAAAGTTTGTTATGTATTCAATTACGTAGAAATAGACATTTAAGTAAAACTAAACTAAGGTGTCACGTAATTTAGGGCATGGTCTCTTTTACGAACCTGCATAAATAGGAACTTATAAACATTCGTTGCGACGTTGCCGTTATAGTACTGTTGTAAATTATCAGTGTTATTAATAATGACAGATGTCAGTGGTGGGACAGAAAAATCATTTTATACATTCTGCTATATTACATCTTCATTGATGTCAGATAATTTACGTAAAAGTGATTAGACTATTGCAATACTATCCATTGTTTTGTTCCGCATAGATTTGGTGATAAATAACAATATACCGTTGTCATGGAAACGAAATTCCGATTCGCAATTCATTCGACTTATTTCATTTTATATATTTTATTTTTAACCAAATATTAAAATAAATAAGTGATTTTTTTAATACTTAGCATATATTGTATACAATATTTTTAAAAAAATTTTTTAGCAGAAAATAGGAAAGATTTATCTTAACATGAAAAATAAAGTTTTTTGCAAAACTGCCCGAATATAATCTTTTAAGCGTCCTTGCGACGTTGCCGCTTTTACTAACTACCAGGTTCTTATTTATCGGTATCTTGAATTGTGAAACAAAAAAATCCTATATTTCCGTCACGTATTTTATCTGTTTGATTATTATCAGGCAATTTACGAGAATTTGGTAGTACTGCCCCTTAGTAATGCAAAATTTTACAACAGTTAGGGCCTGTCGCACTACTGGCTGATAGAGACTCAGATAGCTTAAAGGACCAAAATCCGATATATCCATCACATTTTACATGTTAGATTGTTATCAGACAATTTATAATTTGGTTGGACAGGGCCTTAAATTGCTGGAAATACAATTATTTTCAACTTAATACAAAAGAGCGTAGCCTCGAACCGTTACTGACCCCTACCAATGTTTCTCGTCTAGTCGATAAATGAAATGAGAAATCATATTTATACAAATCTGTTTTTAAAAGGTCTGTGATTACAACTTTTTTAATGTTTGTCATAATTTCAAATTCTGTTCGAAGTGAGATACGTATGTTGAAATATTTCGGCTGCTCAGTTAGATGACTGATGATGGGCGCTGCATTCTTTAATGTTCGGTTTATACTTGGCCAGTAGTTGGTCAGTAATCAACAACTGGAATGAACGTGTGGATACTAAATAGCGCCAGAAGTCCATACAATTTATCGTAACGTCGCTACCCAACTGTACTATTAAAGTGTGAACCGGGCATAACTCGCTATATTGTGTTCGTTGTTACTGGCATGTTTTTACATACAAACCTGTACATAAGTGGTGGAGTTGGGCCGGTGCTGGGTGAGCAGCTGGCTGGTGGAGTTGTCGACCCAGGAGCGGCTGCCGTACAGCACGGTGACCGGCAGGCGCGCCCACAGCGCCCCCACGCGGTGCACCATCGGGTTCTTCGCCCACCCGAAACCCGTCATTAGAGTGTGGAACGCACTTTCACCACTATGAATATAATAAATCTCTTACAGAAGTCAAAACGGTATTTTACATTTATGCTATTATAATAAAGCGTAAACACACAATTCTTTGTTGCCTAAGATATCAGCAATTACAGCATATTTTTGAATAATTCTTTTTTTAATAAAAAGCACTTACGTCACGCTTTAGGCTATATATTTTCACGCCATTAAACTTAGGGGGTAAGTATTTTGGATAAAAGCCCTAATGTGAGAAAGAGACCATAAGTTGCTGCCAACATCAAGGAAGCAAGGTTGTAACCATGTCATTTTGACATTTGCAATTGACAATTTGACAAATGTAAATAATAAACTTAAATTTTCATAATTTTATGCGGATGAAGTCGCACGGGAACAGCTAGTACGGAATAAAGATGAATCGTAAATAGTTCGCTTTGTAACCACCATATACAATCTCACAGGTGTCAAATTATTAATCGACTTTGAATTTAAGTATGAGATTATCATTGAAGGCAAATTTAAATTTCGTTTCAGTATTAATATTAAAAAAATAACTAAGGTGTTTAATTTTTTTTTTCATTTTTAATGGCGACAGACATCCTTGCGCTAAAGAGATGTAATGTGTGATTTGTTTTTATTATACCAGAAAAATTATAATAGATAAAAACAATGCTTCACATATCTAATACACAAATAACCAAACTTTTCAAAAAGAATATTTCAAGAGACAGTAAAAAATAACTTCGTAAAAACCAAAATTATATTATTATTTTGAAATGATATTTCTGCTAATTTTAATTGTTGCGCATTGAAACGATTTGAAAACTTCTTAACTATATTTATTAATTCAAGTTCTGACTTAACCAACATCACCATAGCAACCTATTCCATATAACAATCAAAGAGTATCAAAATCATAAAATCTGTCATTAATTAAAAAGCTTATTATCAAAGAACATTCTAGGTAACACTTAATATATTTACCTGGGGGTCTGCGAGTTACATTGGTAGATATAGTCAGGTATGAGTTGGTCGGCGTGCGGCAGATGCGCGGCGAACTTGCGCGGGATGTCGGGGCGCGTCTTGCCGACCAGCCAGCGGCCGGCCGGGCCCGCCGCGCGCACCGCCCACAGCGGGTTGAAGGGCTGCGCCGCCGTCGCCACCGCGCGCACCCACAGCGGCATCTGGTACTTCTCGTACACGTTCGACGGCTTCTCGGGGAAGCCCCACGGGTCCGCCAGGATCAGGTGACGAACCCTACAAAAAACAAATAAAGCTGCAATTGTAATAACACAAAACACCAAAATCCATCTATAATACTAATATTATAAATACAAAATTTTAGATGGATGGATTTAATCCTTAAAAACACTACAACACAATCAGAAATAACAAAATAAAAAAATGCGACCATAACAAACAGTACATTACACTTAAGGCGTAAATATTTTGGACAAAAAGCCTAATGTGGGAAAGAGACCATAAGTTGCTGCCAAGATCAAGGAAACAAGATTGCCAAGGTTTGTCATGTCATTTTGACATTTGCCATTGATATTTTGACAAATGTAAACAATAAAATAAAACTTTCATAATTTCATACAGATGAAGCCGCTCAGGAACAGCCAGTAAATTATAAATTATAATGTTTGTTAAAGTTTGTAGCTTAAACAGCTGAATAGATTTCGATGAAATGTGTTATACATGATAGGGAATAGTCTGGAAAAACACATAGAATACTCACTTTTGGTTTTTTAAACGCGAACAGAATCGTGGGCGAAAGCTAGTAAAAAATATTTTTAACTAGATTAACTACCGCAACCAATATCGTTAGGTATACTGAGTAATCAATTTAAGACTCTAAGTGGGGCAGAGAGAATACTATAGGAATTATAACGTTGTTCTTTTGGAGATATCTCCAAATGAAAGTTGGAGATTGTAGCAACATGAACTCCAATATCCATATCTCATAACAAATATTAATCAATATAATAGAAATATGTACCTTTCAGGGTATTTAAGTGCGTACGCAGTAGCGATGTACCCGCCGAGGCTGTGCCCCAGCAGTATTAGCTGGTCGATGTTCACCTCGCGCCGCCACTCCTCCACAGACTCCACCCACTGCGCCTCCACCTTGCTGGCGTCCGACGCGAACTTAGGCCGAGAACTACGACCAAAACCTAACACAAATACAAGACTACTATAAATAGGACATCTAAAGTACAGTTACGGAATTATGCGGTGTTTCACTTTTATAAAAAAAATGCCTTATACCTTAGAACGAGATAATTTCCACGTCATACAATTAACAGAATAAACAGCAACGAGTTACCTATACTTATAAAGAAGAAAGCTTTGTACTTTGTATGTATTGAAATAACTCAAAACTACTGTGCCTATTTGAAAAATTCTTTCACCATCAAAAACCAGGTTATCGATGAGTAACAAAGTCTAGTTTTTTTGCTATTACTTAACTTCTCGTAGTCGAAGTCGCGAGCAACAGGTAGTGGTATGAAAAAAGCAACTAGCCATGTACTAACCAAAACTTTTTCATACAGACATTTAAATCATCCTTTTACTTATAGTTGACCATACAAATGACTATATCTATAGTGGAACACCACCAAATTCCCCGATTGTACTTATCAGTTCTCAAAGTTTATCTTTAATCAAACTATACTTAACATACCCAACAAGTCGATAGCATATACAGGCCGCTGGGCCGCGAGAGCATCTAAGTTAGTACACCAGAGTGCAAGCCCTGCTCCCATACCATGCAGCAAGACTAGTGGTGTACGCGGTGCATCCTCGTTTAGACAGATGGTCCATATCTTGTCACTCTGACCCACAACTGATCCAATGTCCACATAGAAACGTTTATACACTGTTTTCACACCTATAAACAAAGAAATATATTTTTTATAAAGATAATCTTACTAATATCATAAATGCGAAAGTTTTGATGGATGGCTGGATGTTTGTTAGCGTTCTCGATGACATATAGCAAAGACATAGAAGATAGACTGGAAGAACACATAGGCTACTCATTTTTTTTTTAAATCCTCGCAGACGAAGTCGCGGGCGAAAGCTAGTGTTAAATAAAAACTAAAATCAATCTCATTATTAATATAATACAAAGTATAATATAACAATCAATATCAGTTTTTCTTTAAAACCAACCTCTTACTTTCTCTAAATAATTGAAGAATATTAGTTTAAATACAATGAGAAAAAAAAATCCAATGTAAAATTAGTAAAAACCTTGTACTGAGATGTAATAAGTAAATCTTCGCATAATTTATATAAATAAAATAAAGGCCATATGTGAAGGTCATTTTCGTTGTATACATTGCAACAGATAAAAAAACCTTTAATTACAAACTAGAAGTCTACAATATTATCAACATTTAATTAAAACAGAAATATAAACAATAGTATTATTTCCAATTACTTAAAGACAAAGGTCATTTATTTCATACTGAGCATGACCTTTGTCTCTGCCTTATTTATCAAATCAACCAATAAAGTAAAAAACACAAAGAAATACAAGCCTAATTGGACTTGAGTCATCTAAAGTGATATCTTTTTAGTGGAATGACTTGTACTATGCATACTGATGTAAAAAAATTAAGGTGGCCGATTGCTTGTTTGCCGCCATATAATAAAAAGAAAATTATGGCTCAATCACATAGTCTATGGTCTATTTATGGTTTATAAGACCCACATTCTAAGTTTAGTAGCTTTCATGTTTATGAGTTTGAAGATACAAAAAACTACAAACGTATTTCAGTCAAGGATGTACGCTTCTTACCGTTTAAAATGAATACGTCATACAGATAAATATGACATTATCGACGCAACAGCTTTATCGGAAAGATAAAAATTTGAGGGTCAATAAAATGCAAGATAAAAATTACGGATACAAAAAAATTAGACTAGATGCTAAAGTGTTACTAAAATTAATTATATATATATATTAGATAATGTTACTAAAATTATAAAAAAAGAAAAAAAAAATTTTTTTTTTATTATTATAATTTCAATTCACGTTGACTGCATATATTTGTGAACAAATAATTGTATTCAATTAAAATGCTACTTTATAAATATGATATTCAAAAGTTCTTCAACATTTGGCAATCTATTCATTTTATAGAAATGGTATTTTACAAGTAGTACAACACTATTTCATCATTCATACAACCATTTAATATCAATTTTGCATAATCATCTATACATATAATAAAATTGGAGTGTCTGTAATATCAAAAGAAAAATTCCAGATTTCGGAATTATGATCTATTTCTGTTGCTAATAACGTAAATTGCATTAAAAAAATTTTTGTATGTCTGTCTGCAAGCCGCTTTTGTTCTGGACAACCTCCGAAACGGCTGGTCCGATTTCGACCTTCACTGAAGGGTAGCTGACATAGACGGCCTGATTATAGGCTACTTTTTAACTTAATATTGTGTGACAAAGTCACAGGCAATAGCGTGCTTAGTAATATAAAAAGTCATGACTTAGCATATTTCATACATACATGATAATATTTTTTTCTCTATATTCCTCAGCATTTCATCCGATTGTCGTGTCCAGCTGAACCAGCCACCGGTCCAACTAGAATTTAAGATAAAATTTAATATTATTAAATACTTATCAGTAAAATTACAAAGCTCTCAAATATGCTTTTTATCAATCAAACCAATTTAGCAAAGAAAATTGATCTGATTAATCCATAAAATTATGACATAGTCCAATAACATTTATGTATATTACATATAAAATTTTAGAATGTAACTAGACTGTGTTATAAAAAATTTAAGCAATAAAAGCAACAGGAAGCTGGACAAGCAATATGGATATGGGAATTAGCCTTACTTCCACACAATGGACAATATTAAGCCAATCCATGTCCAGCTAATTGTGCTGAAAGTCAAACAATAATTCATTGTAATCATTCTGTTTCCACTGCCAAAACATGTGTATAAAAACATTGAAATCCTTCACATTCTCAGGCTTGATTTGCACACATTTGTGAGTTATTTTTTAAGCATTAGAGTATTGTTAATGTACAATAAATTGTAATATTAGGATACATTATAATTAATATCACCAAACCAGTTTAATGAAAAGTCACAGAGGACTAACTATTTTAAAAATAAATCATCCTTGAAACATTTTTAGATAAATTTATTTCTATAATACTGACAAACTAAGTTACTGTCACATAACATGCATTAAACAAAACAAAAACATAAAAACTTGCTTGTCTAATCCCATTGGTGATTTTTTTTTAAAGATTTAATCTGAAAATATAACATTGAATAAAACTTATTTATATGAAATAATCTTTGCCCGCAATAAATCAAAATGTAATATTGTTTTCACTATGAAAATGTAATGTGATAAAATTACATAAATAGAAGCTTATAAACTTGAAATTCTGCCATAAACCTTTACCTTAAAACGCCAACAATTACATGACAAATGAGTGGCAATGATGTGCGAATCCAAATGCGTGTGAGCCCAGGCATTACAATTACGAACGACTGATGATTTTTGTGCAAATCCTACAATTATAAACCGCAAACATTTGAATTTGTCAAAGTTTTATAAAAAAAAGTGTTCCAATACATATAATATTGCGCAATCTTGTAAATTATATGTAAAGTTAAACGTTTGTGAAAAAAGTATTATAATAAAAAATATACCTGGATCTGGTCGTTGATAAATTTAATTCACTACCCATCTGGCTTATCTAAACAATCAATCGCACATATCACTGTGTTAAAACAATGAATTCACTGTAGGTTTACTGCGCACAGAAGACCTAATGCTTAGTAATCGTAATAGACTCGGAAGTATCTAATAAATGATAATAAAATACGGCAACATGCCAAAGAAACGAACATCAACCAACTTCACGTTCACGTATTTTTTTGACAAAAGACAATTTATAACTTTTTAATTTGACTTTGACATTCGAGCAAAACAAACATGACAATGACATTAAATAATGTTGTCAGGCTCAGTAACAGCCTTTATTTCCAAAAAGAAAAAAAACGGATATTGTGGTATTTAAACTTTTACATATTAATAAAAACTGTACACGTGTAGATCTTACGTGTGCAGTTATTAAAGTGCCAATGCCTTGATTTATTAAATGAACTTTAATACCAAACAAAATGTATGGGATTTTGGTTACCATGACACCTGTTTTGGTGTAAAGCTTAATAAGACTACAGTGTTTTGTTTTGTAATTGCTAGCTCTTAACTACTCCCTGCTTAAAAAACTTACTGAAATAACTACTATAATGCAAATATCAATGGTTCAACCTGTTTTCAAGTTAGAATTAAATCATAAAGTAACGCCGAGTGTTGTAATAATAGCAAAATACGATGGTACACACCCATGCTTAACTGCGTCTGCTGGTTATGATAAAGTATGATTATTTTTAGTATTACTATTATATTATAGCATCGAAGCATATTCGAGGTAGGAAATATTAATAGATGTATGTTTTTAGATAATAATTCACCATCCATACGGAGGAATAACCAGCGGGCGAGCTCAGCGCTCCCACGCACATGGAGAGGTATCAGAATTAAACGTCAGCCAGGCGGTGGTAGCTCTTGCCGCTGGTCCACTGAGACCTGATTGTACCAGAGATATGCTATTAATTGGATCACCAACTCAGATACTTGGTACGTCTGGTGTATTATGGGTTTTAAAGCTTATACATATATATAAATACAGTTTCTTCTGTTCATCGCTCAAAGTCGCACTATATATTCGTATTTTTCTCTTTTCTTTCGTGCTATGAGCTGAAGAGAGCTAACAATAAGTTGCTTTTAACGGTCGCACGTCGTTTTTAGCGTACGATGTTCACGATAACTCTGACCTATTTTTCAAAGAAGCCCAAGATGGTGTTAATGTTTTGGTAACTGGCAGTTTCGGAAAAAGCAATGAAATGCTCGTTATTGTGGGCGGCAACAGCTCAGTGCAGGGTCTCAGCTGGGAGGGAAATGAGGTGTTCTGGAATGTGGTCAGTGGCAAAGTAACATCAATGGTTACGTTCGATTTTGATAAAGATGGTGAAAATGAGGTAAATATAAAATATTGTACTTTTTCCGTAGACTGTAGGTTGTTAAATCTCCTCTGTTGAAAGGAGTTATAAAAACATTATGAAATACGAGCTGTTGCCCGCGACTTCGTCCGCGTGGTATTAGAAAACATACGAACTATATAAATTACAAAAAGCTACGTATCCCTAGGGAACCGAACATTTCTCGGGGATGAAGCTTATCCCATGTGTACTCCAGACTTTGTTTTCTATCTGTGCCAAATTTCAATAAGATATATTGAACCGTTGCAGAATGATCGAGTAAACATTAAAAAACTAAATTAATGAATCCCACGGGAACCGTAACCATTCCCGGGATAAAAAGTAGCCTGTGTGTTGTTCCAGACTATGCTCTAAAGCTGTGCCAAATTTCATGGAGATCCGTTCAGCCGTTTAGGCTACAAACGCTAACAAACATCCATCTATCCATCCATCCATCCATCCATCTAAACTTTCGCATTTATAATATTAGTAAGATTACTTGCCGCCTTTTTTCGCTCGTAAGCTGTGTATATCTAACTTTACATTTTAAAAGTAAATTTAGTTACACATTTGCGTTTTTAAAATACCGTTTAAATAATCCATTTACAAATAATTAAATGTCCTGGGAAGTACTATGAGACTATCTTGCTTACTTGACTAGACTTGCTGAGGAATGAATAAAGCATTTTGATATAAATGTTTTCTTTTATTAGCTTAACATTTTAAAGCCGTTTTATTACTACGGTAGTTATTTTTTGCAGTTGTTAATAGGATGTGATGATTTTTATATCAGAGTGTTAAAAAACAATCAGTTTATTATGGAGCTTGCAGAAACAGGTTCCGTAACCTGCCTGTCTCCCATCACTGAAGTAAGATTTGCTTACGGACTCGCTAATGGCACAATTGGTATTTACGAAGAAGGGTTACGACTGTGGAGAGTTAAGGTAATTTTATTCTTTGATTTGAACAATTTATTTTTCGTACTATTTTGTAAAAATTACTCAATATGGCAACATTAACGTATGCTCAAGACTCAAGAGAGGTAGGCAGAGAATACAAATATCCATTTGATCCACATCTTCACAATCTATTCAATCAATCTTCTCCATTACTGCATTTGCATCACAGTTTCTAATATCACATTTGTAATGTAATTTAGCATCATTATTATATTAGGCTCGAAAAGGCTCTTTCAGAATCGAATCTCGGTTTGGCGATTTTAGAGATATTCCTGTGTATCCTTGTTTGTCCAACAGTCAAAACAGAATGCGATAGCTCTGCAATGGTCCGGGGAGTCGCTGGCGTGCGCGTGGGCGAATGGCCGACTGGACTGGCGCGACGGGGCGTCGGGCCGCGTGCTGCGTCGCGTGCAGATGCGCGCCGGCGCAGCTGCCATGCTTCTTGCTGACTACCGCTCTCTCGGCGCACCGGATCTCGTCTGCGTGTCTGATAGAGGCGAAGGTACTACTACTTTTCGACCAATTACTCCATCTAGTTGTCGATGCCAATCGCATCGTGTTACTGCCCTTGGTGCCGCTTTAACTCAACTAGTCCCTGAGCGAGAGTCCTATGGAGCCCTTTTTTTTGAATGGCGGGAAGGCGGGGTAAAGATTGTGATATGTGAGAGTAATTCGCAGACTTTTTTTTAGGTCATGTCTGATGTCTTTCAGCTAAATTTAATCATTGACTCATATTTCTTCTTAGTGTTAGGATACCCACCTTACCATGAAAGCGTTGGATTCAACGCGACTTCAAAGAAGGTTCCATCGGAAGAGGACCGACTAGCGATCACAGAACTGCTAAACAGAAAACAAATGCTGATGGTGGAAATGCAACATTACGAGGCAAATGCGGCCAACGAGGATTTGGAGGAACGCCCTGCTACTGCCATGCCAACTAACACGCGGCTTCAAGTCGCTGTCACTCCCAATGTTGATGAGGTAATGATCGGATTATGGTTGAAATGCTTACTTATTTCCATTTAGGTCTTAAATTTGAATAAGTATAGAAACACCTTCACGTGCTTGGCGGGACAAAATAAACTTGGGACGTGTTTGCCAAGTATGAAAAACTATTACTCACACATATGGTTGGTTTTTTTTTTGTTTTATCATAACCTTTTTTAGTACAGTCTTTTATGTGTTCCTACATAGGGTTGCTTGGATCTGGCGATATCGACGAATAATGAAACAATCGTTAGAGCGGCTTTAGTACTGGCTGAGGGAATATTCGAGAGTGGGGAGACTTTAGCTCGACATCCCCCAGTAAATAGCTTGCGTTCCATACTGTATGCGCCGCTGAGACCGCCCAGAGATGTTCCTGTTGATGTACATATTAAGGTATTCAATCTTTAATAAAGTTGAAAAAGCATCCTGCCTGCTTTTCTATTACTCTAATACTCGTACTTGAAATAGGGTTTGTTCCAGGCGTTAGTTGGTTACGCCGAAAGTGAACAATTTCATATCTTCGAGCTCACAAAACACCTACCAAGGTTTGCGATGTATAGATCAGCGCCATCTACATTATCAAAAACCAAATGCGATAATTTCGTAACATTTCGAATCACAGAACGTATTCAGAGAATATGTATTTGGATTAACCAGAACTTTCTATTGGATGAAGAAGTGGCGATCGAAAATGAAGATTTAAAAGAACTTAACATTACATTTTTAAGTTTAAGAGATAAGTCTCGATTGAATATGAGTTTTGCAGCGGATGGACAAGTCAAATTTGCAACTCCTGATATAGGTTTAGCTGGTGATTTGATACAGAGTTTGGCAATTTACTTGAACTTGGCTGATTTGCAGGTGAGATGTAGCTTTTGCCCACAACTCTATATGCACAGAATTAAAAAAAAATCAGCTTTTGCTTTCTTCAGACTTAAAATTGTAACATCCATCCATCACTATTTTCACATTCATATTAGTAAAATTAATATTCAATATTTAAATTTAATTCACTAGTGTTTTTAGATGTAATAGCTTTTCTAACTACCCTCAGGTGACCTTGACACTTTTAATTACAATGTAAATCTTGTTTATTCATAATGTTTAGAACATTGCATTAGTTTAAAATATCTGGGTTTTAACATTACTTTATTACTGCAAATGAGAGTTTACGTAGGTTTAAATAAATAAAAACAATGAGGGTATTTCAATAAATTTTATAATCATAAATGTCTTAAGTTTAATGCAGATCTCACTTCATTGTCCATAAAGTTCTACAAAACCTACACATTTTACTGGATTGAAGAAGAACATGTTGTTGTGTGGTGGTTCACGTTGACTCATTGCTTTAACTACTTCCTGACCGATCACACCACCGACCACAGCGGCTGCTCCAGATAATATTCCAAATACATCAGTCAACAATGCGTCACTGATGAATCCAACCGGCAATGAAAGCTCTTTCACTAATTCATCTCTCATACGCAAAAGTACTTCTGTGTCCGCTTTTCTTTTGGCTGGATCTGGATTCCTATTGTATTCATCTCTAAAACGAAGCAAAACCTTCATTACAAAGTATGAAGGGTCACCGCGTCGCAATCTCGATCGTAATTCAGGTTTAGACCAGTCAGCGGACAACGCATTCTGTAGGGGCACGTATATCGCACGTCGTTTTACCGTAATACTAACAGTCGCCGCTCCACTCTTCTCAGTATCGTCGGGACCTCGTTTCACGGGTCTGTGCTGTACTATCTCTTCTGAATACTGATGGTCGACCAAGTCAGCGAACATGTATCCGAACATACCCCAAACATCGCCGCAAAGGAACTTTTTGTTTTTGTCTCGGCATATGTTGTTGATACGCTCCAATTGTTCTTGTTTTAATCCGGTAGCGCAAACGATGTCAAAGCTCGTAAAGAAGCTGTCTGGAAGCGAATCTACAGCTTTCGTTTCTGTAGTTATATCCACCATAGGATTTAGTGCCTTGGCCCTTTGAAGCGAAGCTTCCGCTCTATTTTCGCCGATTTTGTCAGGAGGGGCCAAAAACTGAGAATATAAGTCGATTTCTTTAAGAACTTCATTGTCTTGCAGACAAACACTTTTTACTCCAGATAATATTACGTTTTTCGCTGTTTCGGCCCCGAGACCGGATAGACCGATTATCAAAACTTTGGAGGCGCGTAAACGTTTCTGTGAATCTAAGCCCCAAAGGCGTATTTGTCGGTCATATTGTTCTGCTTCCGCTTCCGACAGTTCAATCTCATTGTTTTCAACCATCTTAAATGAATTTTAACACACTTTCTCAAATAAACAATGCAATAATTTGCTTATGAGATTTAAGATTTTGACAAAGCAATGGAAATGACATTTGACAACTAACCTCAATTGAAGCGACCGACGCCAAAACCATAGTGTTTTTTTATACCGTAATCGAATCGGTAACGAATTTTAAAGAAACATTTTTTATTCACAATAAAAAAAAACTGTTACGCTACAATTTAATTAAAACGTTAGTGGCTATACCATTTTGTAAATTAATTAAAGTGTTATGGTTATATCTGTTATCATAGTCAACGGCTCACTTTCCTGAAACCGAAGATAAACTCCGCGAAGAAATGGAAAATGCGTCACAAGTAGGAGAGACAAGATCTCGCCTAGCAGCTGAAACTGCAGAAAAAGCTCAATTAATAACTGCATTATTACCAGCAGCGCAAGATGCAGCTTCCTATGACTTGTTAGTATCCAATTTAGTTTTAATTTCCTTTAACAAAGCAATTTTTTTAAGTTGGTTTACAAATGTTATCTTACTTTTATCGCATTTTTTTTAAATTCATCAATTTGTTTTAAAGAAAAGAAATGTTAAACCGGTATAAGGAAGTGATTCTTTTAAACGAAGAATTGTTAACTGGATGCCACGTGCGGCGTGCCACTCAGGAGCAAGCTGTTAAGTCCCTTAAAAACTTACACATAATATTACGACAAGCTGCACGATTGAGAGGTAAACAGAAACCTCATATTTTTTATTGTTTTATTAATCTGCTTTATATATCGTCTATGGTTTATGCTTTTTTTTCAGTTGGAAAATACAGCAAAGCTGTGATCGCAGCTTGCAGGAAGGCAGTACAAGACAATAATACAGAAGCATTAATCAAGATATTACAAGCAGGAAATTGTTGAATTAAAACAATATTTTAATTATAAAATACATTTATTTAAAACACTTTTATCTATCAGTCAAATTATCTAGGTTTTTAAATTTATTTATTTTTTAATTAAAAAAAATGCAAGTTCATAGTTGCAGATCTATAATGGGTATTGCTTTAATTATTTTGTACTTGGTTTATTATAGTTATTAATTGACACAAAATACAACTTAAAAGAAAGTAACTTAAATAGCTAAATTATACTTAAACATAACATCTATATGTAAACTTCATTGCATTGTTAAACTTATTTGAAAACATTTAAACAATCACTGCCGGTCACAAATTAAATAAAAAAAAAATCAACTTAACTTACATTTGCTTACATTAAAAAACTCCTTTCAGGTGGGAACGTTAACTCAAAACTTTTAACACCTTTTGATCTCTTCAATTGAATTTCAGTAATTATTTTGGCTTATAGTTTAATTAAGCCGTTAAAACAAAAATAATCTTGCAACATTGAAACAGTAATTCATAAAAACATTTAGAATTAGCTCCTTATGGTAAAAAAGGAGAATTTGATGTTTTAACAATAAGGCACTTCCAAGGCACATGAGAATTATTCATCAAAATTCTAATAATCTTAAGGCACAAATCTAGACTTGAAATTAACAAAGTAATGTTTTATACCATAGGAACAAACTTTACCACGTGACATCTTCGACTATAGACAATAGACAGAATAATAGACCATAGACAGAAAATACAGCAATTAGACCATAGATAGAAAACGCCATGACCATATACCTTACACAGTGATATCTTTTGTAGCATAATGCACATCGTCAGCGCTTATATTTAATAGAAGCCTTGGTTCAGAGGGTTTCGGCTCCACGAGCAGTAGTTTGACGGCGGCCAGTCTGGCGCAAATGGCCTGCGCCTGAGATGGCGTCGGCGGCCGTATACTGGGCGCGGATGCATATGGCCGGCCCTCTATGGCCACTATATCTGCTGCTTTAGCTAGCGCACGTGATAATGTCGTTTCATCTGAACCTGTTCTTTCAACCTAGAATAATTGTTATTTATTAGTTTTGCAACCATAGAGATGGTAATTAGAGAGCAAGGTGCTGTATAAATTTATTTAACGATTTTTGTAACTGTAAATTATTTAATACTGGCTGTCGTCCACGTCTTCGTTTGGGAAAAATTAAGAAAATACTTAGTATACTATGTGTACTTCCAAACTGTGCTCTACATTTATGACAAATTTAATTTAAATTCGTTCAACCGTTTAGGATAAATCTTTGAATTAATATCCATTTTTACATTCAAACTTTGGTATCTACTACATTAGTATAAAGTATAAAACGACATCTACTAGATTTTTTTTTATAAAACCTACGACTAAATAATTTTGCTATACAAAAATAAACCATAACACACTAAACTTAAGGTTTAATACATACCTCAGCAGCGACCGCTCTCAGCATGAGTCTTTCAGCGGGGGAGCAGGCTTTCAGGGCACGTACTACTGCACTAGAGGCGGCTTCAGCCAGCGCGTGCTCCACCTCCCCCAAGCCAGCGCGTCCCGCACCCGCGCCAGCACTGGCCAGCTCCAGTGCGCGAGAACACAGCGCCAGCGCACGACGCGCGTCGCCTGAGACTGCTGCCACTTTCCTATTACAATGTTCACATTTACTCCAATTAATAAAATCATTTTATATGTAGAATCGTCAAACATATAGTCCCTACTAAGACGCTATTAATTTTTCTTTTATCGATGATCGAAAAATCCAAAACATATAAAACTGACAATTTTCCATTAGTCATGTGTTTATCACTTATTTAATCGTGTACATTTTGTCAATTTTCCTAGCATTATTGCCGATCGAAAGTCACTGTCTAACAGGAAATGTGAAGCTCTAGAACTGCTCCAATTAGTAGAATAATTCGACTGATTGGCATCGCTCGCTTGTTAGCCATCTTATATAAGAAAAAGGATATAAAAAGTATAAATAAATTCACTTTACATTATTCTTAATACGCGGTTTAATTCATTTATGGCACTTGGCCAGCACAGTTGATCAGTAGCACTCAATAACTGGACTGCCAATCAAAGCATAGTGTATATGGTAACTGACACCAGAGTTCATACCAGTTTGAGGTGGCCAAGCGCAGATGGTGCTTAGCCTAAACTTTGTTTATGAGTAACTAAGCTCGAGGACTCCCTCAGGAGACTCGGGACGAGCCGTTACTTTGTTATTATTACCGGACTAGTTCACGCCCGCAACTACGATCGCGTGGAATTAAAATAAACAAAAGTGAGTAGCCTATGTGTTCTTCCAAACTATCCTCTATCTCCACACCAAATTTAATGGAAATCCGTTCAGCCGTTTAGGCTACAAACTCTAACAAACATCCATCCATCTAAACTTTCGCATTTATAATATTAGTATGATTGTATTTGCAGCCAATTTTATTGGCCAAGTGTAAACCTGTTAACTAAGCATTATTTAATTTACCTGGCTATAAGTTGCACCGCGTCCGCAGTAACATTATCATGTCCCAGTCTGGCAGCGACAATGCGCTGCAGCTGCGCGTGCGAGTACGGCGGGAATGTTAACCGTGTCAGCCCCACACGGGACGCGACTCGTGATGCCAGCGCACGCTCCGGTAAATCCATAGTGTTGGCCACCGCCAGTACAGTCAGCAACGCGCTGTCATGTGTCGACCACTCCATTATACTGTACAGCACGTCTTGACGTCTGGTGCATAATGCGTCTAACTGGAATAAATTTAGTAGCTTTTTCTACTGGTCTATATTCTACACTAGCTTTCACACGCGACACTACGTGTAAATTAAAAAAAAAATAGTAGCCTATATGTTCTTCTAGACTATCATCAATATTTATGCCATTTTTCATCGAGATCTATTTAGATTTAGGCTACAACTCTAATAAATATCCATCCATCCAAACTTTCATAATTATAATTTTAATAAGAACATCTGTGTCAAATTTCAGTGAGATCCATGGAGTAATTCTGGAGATATGAAATAACAAATATCTAAACATTTGCATTTATATTACTGAGATTTAAAAGAAATTTATAAACTACTAAAAATATTGGTCCTTCGAGTCGGATAAATTAACAAATCAAATTACATTTTAATTTTTCACTATACAAGATTGGTTTAACTTTGCTACCTAAATAAGCGGTACTAGTGTCAAACCCTTTAACTTAAAAAAAAACTATTAAGAACATTTTATATTTGTGTGTACTTTTATTGATTGTACAAACCTCATCAACAACTAAGACAGTAGGTGTTCTCCTCGGACCGGGTTTAGTGAAACGCTTCTCTAACAAAGAGCAAGCTTGTTCCCATACGACAGATTTACCTGAAATAAACAATTTAAGATTAAAAAAGCACAGAACATCTTACAATTATCCGTTAAAAAGATATTAGCAAAGCCTATTTACATTTTATTACTTGTATTATTAATTAGACACAATTAATTATAACTAATATTTATGCCACATTCCCAGGGAGGCCCTGGAGTGGATCCCACAAGGAACACGAAAGCGTGGGCGCCCTATACAAAACTGGCGGCGTTCAGTGGCGGCCGTCTTGAAGGTAATCGGGCTGTCATGGTCCGAGATACAACGCTGAGCCCAAGACAGAGCGAGCTGGCGGCGTACTGTGGACGTCCTATGCCCCACTTTGGGGACATAGGAATAGAAGAGAGAGAGAGAGAATATTTATGCCAAATTTCGGCATAATGTATTGAGCTGTTCTGGAGACATGCAACAATATAGTAACAAACTTTTGCATTCATAATAATAAGATATTGGTTTTCACAACAAATATCTAGATTTTCAAACCTATATATTACAAGCTTTGGCCCGTGACTACGTCCGCGTGGAATTAAAAAAACAAAAGTGAGTAGGCTATAGTTCTTCCTGATTATCCTCTACAATTATACAACTACAAACTCTAACAAACACAAGATTAAAGGCCTGTTCCACCACTGGCAGATAGAGGCTTAGATAGTTTAAAAATAACGATGTCAGGTAAGGGAACAAAATCCGATATTTCCTATACAAATTGGATTGTTATCAGACAATTAACAGTTTGGTGGGACAGGCCCTCAGTTTTTGTTTTACATCGACAAATTGATACAGTTCAGTTAAAATTTATTTAGAACTTAGCTTAGTTTAAAACATTTTTGTGTATACTCACCAGTTAGTTGTTTATATATTTGCACATATGCTTGTCTAGGTTCGGCAATCCTCATTCCGTTGACCTCAACTAATTGAAACTCGGGTAGATCTGATTCTTCCTTCAGGACTTTCAGTGCGGAGTTCACGGTTGCCGTTTTACCTGTACCTGGTACTCCTGATATGTACATACATCTGAAATTTAAATATATTTTATTATTATAAAACTTCCCTTAAGTCGGTTTGGTTATATTCATGTGTTAACAACTAAAAATTGACTTCAAGACTTTGGTACTGTTTGAAAAAATAAAAAACTATTGGATTGTTTTTAATTTTGAAAATATTGAAATATCAGAACAAATGGTAGACGTAAACGTGAATATGACTTTCAAAATAACAATGAACATACATAAATTCCTTCTATAAAGATACTTTATGGTGTAGAAATATAATCATTGTCACTTTACAAATGAAAACATATATAAAAGCGTGTTTAAACATTTCTACTTACCCACTTACATTATCTAATAATTTATTCCTAACATATAACAGTATTTCCTTCATTTGACTCTCTCGTCCCGGCAAGGATTGATTTTCTTTTAAAAACTCTGCAAATGTCAAATTAAGAATATTTACGTAATAGTTCACATTATGATAACCCTATGTACTCTTATAAGATCTCTTTTTATGAACAATTCCAAGAAATAAATTACAAAAAGATTAATAAAAGATGGGGAAATATCCACTTTTTGTGCATCTCTCTGTTAATTAAAGATAGACAACAAATGCAATTGAATATGTCCATTGGCAACGATCGCTTCGCTATTTAGGCGAATACAGCTGTCCATTTGCTGATTTACCACTTTATAAAATAACTAACTGTTGCTTGCAACTTCGCCTGCGTTAAATTAAAAAAAAAAAGTGGCTTATGCTATTCACTGATAATGTAGGTTTTTAATAATAAAAAGGTTTTCGAAATCAGCCCAGTAGTTTTTGAGTTATTTCAATACATATAAAAATACAAATCTTTCATCTTTTTATTATAAAATATAAAAAAGACAAATTCGATAGTACCTTCTATATTATCTAGAGAATGTGCTCTTGAATGTAGAGTAGGTGTAAGCTCACTCATTAGTACCCTTTTAGCACTACGTTTAGGAGTTTTAGCATATGTCCTAGGTGTTTTAGGAGTTCTAGGGGTTTTGGGTGTTCTAAGAGCTGTTGGTGTTTTAGGCAACGGTTTGAAATCATCGTCACTATCACTTGTGTACCTTTTTATATTCTTTTTAGGTGTTCTTTTTACAGGAGAAGTTTCATCCGTTACATACTTAAGGGGATGTTTTGTTTTTCTTCCGGAACGAGTTGAATAGGTCACTTGTTCATCTAATTGGATATCAAATTCCTTCTTAGGTGTGTGAATAGATTCGTAACTTATTGATTCTCTTTTCGGTGTACTCGGTTCCACTTTTCTGATGATCAATGTTGGCATTTCATCGTTAGGATTTTCTTTTAAAACCATAGACAAAATTTCTTCATAATTCCTTGTTCTTTTTTTACTACTCTTCGGTGTTTCTATTAGCATTGGTTCATCTTTTGGTATCTTTTTCGGTGTTGTCTGAATGGGTGTTTGTTTTTCATTTTTATCGCATAAGATAGCTCGTTTTAGTAATAATTTTGTGTCATCTTTTTTTGTTACATTCCAGTTAGATTCTGATAATGAAATTCTGCTCATTCTTCGTGACAAGTTTGGTGTTTTCGGTGTTGATGATAATGAGTTGCTTTTTTTTGGGGTAAATAATAATTGTAATGCATTTCTTTCTAATTCTAATGCAGGTTCGAGGTTAACCTTTCTCCTACCGTTGGCTATGAGCCGATATCTACAGATATAATTGTATTGTTCAGTTCCTGTTATGACATTATCAGTGTCTTTAGTATGTGCAAGTGTTATGGAACATTTTTTATAAAATGTTTCTATAGAAACATGAGTGTCAAAGGGGCGATGATCTTCTATTACCTGGATAACACAAAATTGTGTTTATAACTATAATTATAGAAAGAGATGGATGGATTGTGTGAAAGGTGACAAGATCATGAAGGGAGTGATGACTGAAATGATGCATGATAGTTATTTGGAGGACGAAAACCAGGTGCAATCCTAAGGGAGTAGGAAAAGGTTAGGGAGATGATAATCTAAAACTTCAAGTTACCATTAAGTCACAGGGCTTAGTGTTAAATGCTTAACCATTGTTTTAGCTTAATACATCCATTTTATTGTTCTATAGCTAATATTTTATGATATAAACAATGTGCTTACCTCTTTGTCAAAGAAACAAATTTGATCCGATTTATTCAAACATCCTTTGGGCAAATCAGATGGTTTTGAGTACCATTGCACATTAGCTCTGTATGGATCAGTCTTGTTAGATAGATCCTCATACAATGATAATATTTTAGCAGCATCGCACCCCTCTTCCGTGTCCGGTTCGGCAGCGTCCGCATTAGAAATTAACACATAATCACCAATCTCACCAACAATTTCTTTGAATTGAAACTTTCTAGAAAACATTCAATTTAATAAATAATGTATGTTTAAAGTCTGAGTATTTGAATGAGCGATAAAATATAAGACTTTGCATTGAGTCTGTTTGTTTCTAAAGTTAAAAACAACGTTTTAAATAATATAGAAACTTACTCGTAGTGTTTGAAGCTCGTAGTAAAACATTTTTCATTAGGTATCTCGTCACTTAACCAAAGAACGGGTTTAGATTTCGCTGTTCTTCGTCTCATTATTTTAATTTATAATTTCAAGTATTTGATTTAATAATTGAAAGGTTATTGAAGTTTTAATTTACCGTTTATGTGTTTGATTCAGTTGTCAAATGGAATATCAAAGTCAAAAATTTTCGCGGGTTAAAGTATGAACTGACATCTGACACTGACGTGAAACTTTTATAAGAAATGTTTGTCAACTTTTTTTAGTTTTTAATTTGATGTTACATATTTTAAAAAAAACTGTTTTAGAATTACTCTGCTATTATAATCTTATCGAGGAAATGCTTCACATTGCGAAATGCGAACACTCTGCATAGTCTGGACTTTCTTACTGTGTCTAACGTATGTCATTGTCACTTGTCATTGTCATTTACACGTTTTGATTTGTTTTATAATTGCTTGGTTATAATTAGTTAATGCCGATAAAATGAAGTTAAAGCAAAAGAAAACGACAAAAACTACGTTATCAGAGAAAATCGCAGATGCACTTACTGTAAAACCACGTGCTGATATTGAAGACGATCATGTTTTCGGCACAAAACCGAAGACACTTTCACGTGCCGAGCTCAGCTCTTCGGATAGCGAAGATGATGCGTTAATCAGTGATTTTAGAAAGAGGAACGTTAATTTGTTAAGTGAAATCAGTAAGAAATACGAAGGTAAAGTCGTTTCACGGAAGGATCTGGAAGAAGATAGTGAAATTGAAGGTTCTGATGATGTGGGAGATTCCGCGGAGTCTGACAACAATGGTGAGAAGCAGGAACCTACCGATGACAGTGAATTGGGTGATGAGAGTGATGATTATAGCATAACTAAGATACAAAAGCAAATAACTGGTACAGATGAATCTGATGTTACTGAAGGTGGTGATGATGAAGATGATGAAGGTGATCATAGTGGTGATGACGAAAATGAAGGATATGATATTAGTGCTTTAGAGGAACCTGTTAAAGAAAATTTTGAACATATGAAAAAAGAAAACATCTCTGAAGAAGCCAAAAAGGGTGTTTGTGTTAGAAATGAATTATTAATATGGGAAGGTCTTTTAGAAATGAGAATACACTTACAAAGGTGTATGAATAGTGCCAATAAAATGCCTTTTAATGACACTTATGTTGAATTAAAAGAAAATACAGAGTTTATGGAGGAAAGTAATAAGACAATAAATAATGTAGCATTGGTTTTAGACAAGTAAGTATCCATAAAATACAATTCAAATTAGCTTCATATATGTATGTTAAGTAATGGATTTAATGCAATATGCAAAAAAACAAGCTAAATAATCGACTACATTTAAAAGTGTTGCACTAAGATACTTATGCTTGTTGAGTTTTTAATTAAAACAACTGTTTTTTGTTTCAGATTATTAACTATTCAAAATATATTATTTAAAAATTTTCCTGAAACTAAATCACTTTCAAACAAGAAGACAGGGGTTGAAATAAAGAAAAAAGATGAAGAAAGTGATGAAGAGATACCAAGCGATACAGATAATGAAGAAATACCCTCTGATACTGATGAAGAACCAGAAAAAATACCAGAAAAGGAACAAAAGGTAGATATAACCAAACCATCAAAGAAACGGAAACTCGAAGACTATGAAAAAGAACTTGATCTCTCTCATAAAGCTTTCAAATCCTTCAGAGATAATACAATACAGAAATGGAACGAGAAAACTCGTATTACAGCTAACATAAAAAATGCACCGACAAACACAATATTACAACAAATAAATTACATATTGTCCGATAGAAACAAACTAATTAGACGGACACAATTAAAACGATCCGAATACGATATAATTGGTTACAAACAGAATGAGAAAAATAAAGAAACAAACGAAAATCATGTTATAGCAGATAGAAAAGAAAATGATGAATATATACCGGAAATATTTGACGACAGTGACTTCTATCATCAGTTATTACGGGAATTAATTGAATGTAAATCAGCGGATATATCAGATCCTGTACAACTCAGTCGGCAGTGGATAGCGTTGCAACAAATGAGAAGTAAAATGAAACGAAAAGTCGATACCAAAGCAACTAAAGGTAGACGAATCAAATATGTAGTACACAACCAGTTAGTTAACTATATGGCTCCGGAGAAATCCGCTTCCTGGACAGATGAGAGTAAAAATGAATTGTATAGCTCTTTGTTTGGTAAAATGTTTGAACACAACAATATAGGCTTGAATGTTAACTTAGAAAATGGTAAAATAAAAGAGTGATTTTGTCAAATTTCGTTTTGTTTTAATCGAGGTTACTCCAATTGTTTAATATAATTTCATATCACCAGCATTACAGCACACCCTAAGAGCGTGCTATTGACTAAACTATCGCACAACTTTTAAGTCTCGCTTTGATTCCTATGAGCTTGTATGGAGGTTCATACTACTTAATTTTAGTTGTGCAACTAAACAGTTGAATTGGCAGCGAAACAATCGACAATCGCACAACTTGTGCGATTATTTAGTTTAGTCAAAGGTGTGCCCGCTATTAGTGTGATTAATCTTTTTTTTTTTATAACATAAGGTGGCAAACGAGCAAGCGGCTACTTAAAAATAATAAATAATAAATACTAATCTTACAGTAAATCTACACTAAGGGTATGAAAATTTAAGTGTTGCCATCTATTTGTGGATCTAATGCGGGTGATACGATGCGATTTATTTGCCGATAAAGTACAGGAAGTAATAGTAATAAAGAAGCGTTTAACGATCGCATCGGAAGACGCGCAAAATAAATTTGAAAACAGGTAATGTTTTTACATGTTTTTTGTATATATTTCCGTAACTATATCAAAATATTTCATCTTTATAGAATTTTATTTGTATCTACGGGGCAGAATTATAACCTAAAATTTCATCATCAAACTGCCATTTACGTAGTGTAGGCACAATGTATACAATTCTTCCATACATCCCTATCAGCTGAAATCCGAAGTCACTCCTTTAGGCATCTTTCAAACTATTCATCTATTATTTCTTCGGACTTCCTGTAGCTACTTTAAAACATATTTCATTAAATTTCTATCGCATTGGTTTTACAATAAATGCATCCTCATTAAATCTTATTATTACTATGTTTAGATGGATTGATGTTTGTTAGAGTTTGTAACGTTAATTGCTGAACAGATCTCAATGTTGGTCATAGATCTAGAGCATAGTCTGGAAGAACACATAGGCTACTTACTTTTCTTTTTTTAAATCCACGCGGACGTAGTCGCGGGCGAAAGCTAGTGTTTAATTTATTTAATACACTCCTTTTATATTTGTTA